CATGTACTCATAGGGGTAGACACCCTTACGCCGGAGAAGGTCATGATGGGCTAATGTACGAGTAAGCTTGAAGGCATCTTCCGGGGTGTTGCTCACCAACGAGTCAAGAGAGGAGTTCAAGAAGGCCATGGAGTCAATGAAGCGGTACTGACGCCACTTGAATGAAATATATTTCTCCATGTTGTTGGCGATGACACTGATCTCACCAACCTTCCTAATCCGCTTACGCTGGTTAGAGTCCTCGTACTCCACCTCTTCAACCTCGGTCATACCAATGTGGGCGATGAGGTGGTGGGCATCATACCCTTTCAGGTTGTGAAACACAACCGGAATGATCTGGCGATCTGGGTAGATACTCAGCTGAATATTACACTGGTAGTGTGCAGCACCACGATAGTCGCCTGTGCAGATATTCAGAAAGAGGGGAATACACAAACATAGTAAACATCTACAATGAAGGTGATACCACAGACAATACAATTCAATACACCGTGATAAAACACAGACGCAAACAGCTACAAAGACATGAAAATGCACTATACACATCATGTGCATATCTACACACAACTGCAAAACAACAAAAATAAACAAACAAATTATAATACTTACCAGTGAGATGATCATGATCACGAACACGATCTTCTCCAAGTACTTCGTCACATATCCAGCAGTTGACTGCGTTCTGAAACTCAAGCTCCAGTTCTGCTGTCATGCGGATTGGCTTGATATCAGCCAAATCCTCCTGGATACTGCCTTCCAACTCTTTGAGACTGTCGAAAAAGTTGTGAATGGCATTCTCACTGCAGTCGTCAAACTCGCCCCGGACTTCACCGTTGGATCGGATGGCAGCATATCTACAAGAGCATAAAAGAAGAGGGAAAGTAAGAATAAGTGATTTTGAAAAAATGGAATCACACAAAATGCACATACTACAACACGAACACCTAATTTGTGAACAAGACAAGAAGGAATAACAGCAAGCACTGTGCAGGCCCGAGTACAGCAAACATTAGTCAAAAACAACACCAACAACAAAACATACCTGATGCTGCATGGCACGTGACGTGCTGTGCGTACAGTGCTGCTGCCATGCTGTTCCTCCATCGGCTCAATGATGGCCTCCGTATCAGCGTAAATGATATATGGAGCCACCATCCTGTGCTTTAAATTTGTATATTTGAGGATGCTGTCCTTTGCTGTGGGCATGACGACTGGCACGGGCTTCATCACCTGACATCTCTCGCTGTGATGCTGCAGGGAGTCTGCTGTTTTGTGTGCGGAGAGGCATCGCAAGCAGTAGTGTGTTGCCCGCTTGTTCTTATTCTCACATGCACGACTGAAGTTTTTTATCCATGTGAAGTGGTTGTCATGTAGAAGGAGGTTGATTGGAGTCTCATGTCGCTCGCTGAGATAGAGTGGGTACAGATTCCCCTCGTAGCCAAACACATTGATTGCAAGACCATTCTGTAACTCCACTTTGGGTACATCACGGAGCGTTGCAGGGAACATCACACCATCGAACCGCAGCTCATCAACATACTGGGTGTACTTGGATGCCCGCTCAGCATTCTGTTCGACGGGGTGCAGCGCTGACAACAACGCCCACATCAAACACCTGTCATCGTTGTTCTTTACGTTAATGATGGCCTTCTTTTTTTCTAATTTCGGTGGGATATCAGCTGCACCACCTACAGTACACCACAAAAATACAACGAAGGCTTTGCTCAGAGTAACACCACATCACAACTACACCCTCTCGACAATCACGAAAAACTGTACATCTAGTACAAAACATCTACAACTTTCCACAAGAAATTCGACAGGCTTCGAACAAACACTGCCGGATGAACAGAAACTCACCTCGAAGAGGAGTGTACTTTGCTGTCGACACATCCAGCTGTCTCACTCGAGAAACGGTCCAGTCGGATCCGTTCTGCACCCACTTATCAATAAGACCAGTGATCCTCGCCACCATCGTCTTGACTGCACTATCAATATCCCCTTCGCTGAGGATCCGAGCCGGTCTACTTCTAAAAAACGGGACGGCAGACGTACTACCCGTGGCCGACTCTCGTGTCATCTCCACCCTCAAAACTAAAACCACCTTGAAAGGGTGAGACTGAAGCTCCTCGAGGAGAACCTGTCTGAGCTCGTCATGATGGCTGCTGAAAAAGACGAGAGGATCAGTGCCTGAACCTGGCAAAGAAAACTTTTTCAAAAACCCACGCACGGCACTCGAGGTGGGCTGTCTGGGCTGCCTAGATCGTTTTGCACTTGGCTCCGCCATCGTCACGTCACCTCCAGCACTGCCTACAACATACTGAGGAAATAATCTCCCCGTACAGCGTATATGAGGTCGGCTATCACCCTACAATGACACGTGTAGTATATACAGAAGCCTTGCTTGGTAGTTAACATGTTTTTCGATTTTGACAGCATGTTACAAGGCGAGGACGCGTAGTGCTCCTGACTACAACCATAAACCGGTTGGCAGAGTCCCGGTCTTGCGACCATTTGAACCGTATTGGGAAAACCCAGGTTCGGACCCTCGTTACTCTACGGGTTGGTAGGATTTTTATAATTTTCGTTTTTTTGTGTTGTAGAAGTCGTCGTGTTGCCGCCGTAGTATTGTTCACGTTGCTGCCGCTGCAGGGATCACGTCTGGAAGGATTTGTGATGTTATTTTCTTGTCTTCCTCTGTAATTAAATTATTTGTGATTTATTTCTTTTTTCTTTTTTTGTTCTTTTGTTCTTTTTCTTTTTTCTTGTCTTTTTTCAACTTCTGCCCATGGCGTCCTTCTCTCAGCTCGTCAGCTGTAACAGTCATAGTCATCACCATGACGACTGTTGTGAGAAGGTGCTCGCTGCCGACGAGGTTGGTGATGTCCCGACGAGGCCATGGGTAGGCCTTCACCACGTCGGAACACCCCGTCTGCACGTTGGTGTTGGGGTCTGGGTGTTGATGGACGTTGATGTTGTTGTAATAGTTGTTGTCGTTGTAATTGTCGTTGATTGTTGTTGTTGTTGTTGTTGTTGTTGTTGTTGTTGTTGTTCTCCTTAGTGTTGTTCTCGTTGTTGCTGTTGGTCTTGGTAATACTAATAGTCTTGTTCACGGACCTCATGAATTCCACAAATAAAACAGAGTTATATTTCTTGAATCAGCTTCAGGGTTACTTTTCCTTCAATTATGAATGATTTGTGGAATGTTGCAATTGGTAACATGGAAACATAAGTTCAGTGCAGCTTCCAGTATGTTGTTCAGGTGAGGTACACCGGTTTTTGGGGATCAAATGTCGGAAGTCAGCATTGCTTACCTCGGCTGTTGCGCTGGACCGTCTTGGGTTCACTCGTAGTTAATTAATTGTGCGTCCCCCCAGGGGGTTTGGGCTCTCCGGTATTAATCCTTTGTTGAACGAGAAATTGTTTACTAATTAATTATTGATGAAGGGGTTAGTGTTGTATCACGTTCTTCGTGGCGTGGGCTGAGTCTTCTGTCAGGTGGACGGAGCTATAAAACACACAGACAGGACGGCGGTTATTGGTGTATCGAAGGAGAAGAGAAGTCTCACTGGCGGGTCTCTGAGAGAGACACACGTGTTGACTTTGGACTTACCGGGAGATCTCTCCAGGTTGTCCGAGGAGCTGGTAAGATGGTCGTCGACGTCGAAGGTGAACGTAGGCTGAGGAAGATATGTGGAGTGTAGTCGGACACGACGTGATGGCTTCTTGTTGTCTTCGCGAGTTGTGTTCTGGAGACGTCGATCTTGCGTGGTGTCGTAGGTCGTGCGCGGGGATCGCGCGTAGATCTGCGTGCGGTGATGCTGGCGCGCGTGGTGCTCCGGGGCGTTTGTCGTCCTCGTCGTTCCGACAATGGTGAGTCGTACTTGCGGACTTGCTTCTTTCGCGAGTGTGCGTTGCATCTCCGCCGTTGGGGTCAATATTTGACCCGGGCGTTGTCCATACCGCTTGTTCTGGATGTGTTGTGCGGTCTCCGTTGATCTGGGTTTGCGGTGGTCAGGTCCGAGTACGAATCTACCACGTGAACCGTGTGTGGTGGATTAATTATTTTATTTTGGTGGAGATCGAAAATGATCTCCGGTCCGAGGAAAACGGCTCGATCCGGCCGGCGGTCGAGTGTGCCTGTTGTGTATAGCGAGAGCTGCAGAGTGCAGTAAATATTGGCGCCCCTATTGTAACTGTCTAGTCTCTAGGTGAATGGATGCTGTAATCTGTTCGCGTGGTACTGCCTGCTGAGCGCTGTGTTGTTCGGAAACAAGAGTCGAAGAGAAGGTTGTAGATGGATTCTACAACACAAAAAAACGAAAATTATAAAAATCCTACCAACCCGTAGAGTAACGAGGGTCCGAACCTGGGTTTTCCCAATACGGTTCAAATGGTCGCAAGACCGGGACTCTGCCAACCGGTTTATGGTTGTAGTCAGGAGCACTACGCGTCCTCGCCTTGTAACATGCTGTCAAAATCGAAATGACACGTGTACTAGTACACCTTGTGTATACGTCTTTTCCACACGCAGGGCCACTGAAGGTCGCACGCTCCGCGTGCGTATGCGCGCATGCGCAATATGTCACTGCACATCTACGATGTGCAAATCAGGGAGTAGTACGTATTTTACTACTCCCCGGTGCGAATGCACCGAACTTGCACAAGTGCACGGTCGCCACGGAAAAGAACATGATGACATTTATGGCATGGCAGGGCCAAAGGTCGAACCCTGGGGGAGTCCCGGGGCCAGACCAAGCGCGCCCGACACAGTGTGCCTTATTTAACCCAAAGGTCAAAGGTCAAACCCTGGGGGAGTCCCCGAGCCAGACCAAACGAGCCCGACACAGTGTGCCTTATTTGGCCCAAAGGTCAAAGGTCAAAAAGTGCACCAGAACCCGCCCCGCACTTACTACTACGAACGTGTACACAGTAGAGACAGCAAAGCGTTGTTGCTGATGCTAGATGTGTCACGTGTTAGCTATCTGCAGATGGCATGGTGAAATGGGAAACGTACATTTGGATGTTGCCAGCATGATATGCAAAGCTACTAGTAGCACATATCAATAACAGATAAAGTAACGAAGAGAAATATTGGGAGGTGTGCGAAAACTGGGTTACTCATACAAGACCAGTAGAATTGTACAATGCATCGCAAATTAGAAAGTTCCACCTGTGACTCTGTGAGATATCAGATGTGCTGATCCCAAAGAGGGAAAATCTCAGAAGAAATCCGTAGTATGAAATTATGAACTTCATAGATAGCAAATTTCCAGTGAAAAGGAGACCGGTTTGAAATGAATAAAACCACAAGATCCCTGCCTGACATTTTCAAAATTTGTATGCAAGCTGGAGCAAGAAAAACATAAAGCGACGCCTCGCCATTAGGGAAATTTTGAGCTACATGTACATGTACATCGCTCACCTAGCTGCCAAAAAAGTCACGTAAGGTGAAAACCTGTGTAGGATTACCCAAAACTAAACTTGAGCTATGCAATCTAATGTCGTGAATAACATGCTGGCGATAAGCTAATAAGAGAATAACAAAAAAGTAGCCCAACAAATGCTCTAATCATGGTGGAAAAACAACAATTTAAATTTGTAGTTGCCACTTCACTGTTCGTTGGGGCTGGCCCTGGGTGCAAATTCGATGGCCGCATAGTTAGTTGCGTTTTCGCCTCCAGGCATCCGCTGAGTCGTCTTGTTCGGAGTGGCGTACACGGCGATTGGTCGAGGTGGTTCAGACGAGTCTTGTGTATCTACAGTCACTGCTACCTGCTCGTGGTCTAACTTATTGTTATAGCAGACATTGTCGTCACGTCTAGGTTCATAGACGCGTCTTGCCATCTTGATGATGGCGATGACAGCGATCACAAGCATCATAATTAAGACAGCGATGACAACAATCAGAGCCACAGCGCCACCCTGGCTCAGGAATGAAGCATCAGCCATAGTTCCCTCCGCATGCGCCTGTGTACCTATAGTGGTAGTAGTAGTAGTAGTAGTAGTAGTAGCTGCAAAAAAACAAAAGTACGGAAATAACAAAAGACATGCAGCAAAAGAGCAGTGAAATGGGCTATTGCTATTCTTCGCAAAAATCATCAAAATGTCGATTATGAAAATGCAAAAACACAAACCAGTTAATTTCACAATCGGTCGTGGTGAAATCCTAGAAATCCACTGGACTTTACTAACTACGTTATTTCCCAGAATATACCTGTTCGCTCTAAAATTCAAAGCTAAAAAATGGGATACGACTTACAATCCAGCATTCCTTATTACTGTAGTGAAGATATCAAAGCATTATGGCTAAAATCTGAAAAAAGGGGTGCGATTTTTCATCGAGTGCGATTTTTTCATTGAACTACGGAACCCTGTCTTTCACTCATCATAACATTGGGCACGATTGTCCGTTTGACTTCCGATGTAAAATATTTTAAAAATATATACATACTCGATCTGACCCGTAACCAGTATATTTTTAATATGTCACAACCAATTGAACCTGACAGACCACACAATGAGTGAAGGGTCGGTCAAAATCACCCTCCCCTGTCTTTGCAAGGCTTCTGTGGTGCTCCGGATGAAGCGGCGCGAGCCAGACAACTGACGTGAGCTATCTTGATCATGGGCTTCTTTAGATTGAGCGCTGCTGTTGTGGAAAATGCCATTCCTGGGGTCTGCGTGTGCAATGCGAACATATCTGGACCAAATCATCAGATCAGGGATTCCGGCAGCTGCATGACTAGCGGACATGCATGCAGCGGCCTGTCGGCTGGCTTAAAACAAGTAGATGGATGCCTTCACTACTCAGGTACACTCGCTATCTGAATCGTGCCCACTCTCTGGGCAAGGAACGGCATGTGCTGTCGACTCTGTCCACGAATCCAGTAGAGGACATCAGCACTGTCAGACCAGAACGTGACAGTACTCATCATGAGATCGAGAGGAGGTGGAAGATTCTTCAAAGCCGCAAAACCGGAGCTGCGGCCATCATCTCCAGCCTAGGAATGCTGTTAACAGCAAGGGCAACGGACTTCCTGTGAGGCTACGTCACCCGACAAAGAGCAACTACCCTCGTCCATTATCTCTTTCTTTTATATATTATTTTAACATGGAAAATGTGGGCACAAGTTATGCGATCGAGTCCACCAACTAAACCACAACCTTTATTTCACCGGTTCCCTCGCAAACCCACACTTACATCAGACACAACAATTGGAGGCATCGAACTATTAGAAGACTGCATTACCAAACATGTTCTCAAAACACCATTGAAGAATCCAACTCCAAAAAAACAAAGAACGGAGAGCTGGGGACGCACGTACCCGGCCCCGTAGCAGACACACAGCCAAGGAGGACGACACCGTAGCGTCCCCACGCTTAACTGGCAAAGAAAACAGCAAGCAAAGAAAATCTGCCAGCGGGCGCAGTTTACACATCTTGAACGACACGGGCAAAGCAAAGCACGTGACAGAAAACAATGCACGATGTCATCTGTACTCATGCGGACATGCAAAAAAGGTCAAATCTGCACAAAAGCGAGTGCCGCAAAGAAACAGCACAAAATATATAATAATTCAAACAGTGAAGAACTAGAAAGAAAGATTTCTAATTATTGTAGAACAAGAATGTATCGTAGAGTCCCTGCGCAACTGCCGGAGGATGCTGGCACACACCAGACGGGTGGTGGCTGCCCCTGCCAGAGAGATAGAATACCGAAGCAGAGGAGCCACGTTAAAAATAGTGAAACGCACAAGGTAAGAATAATCGAGCAGTGTCCAACTACGACATACTGAGTATTATACATGAAAAGACAAACACGAACAAAAGGAGAACGTTCCAACATTTTCCCTCTCACGAACGATTCCAGACTAATCGGAAGTCATGAGATCATCATACTGACCAGTACCTTCATTGATAGGTTCAACTTCCAATGGCACCAACTGCGTTATCGGCCACTTGGACTGCTTGGCGCCAATTCTGATGTTTACCACACGGACCAATCCATCAATCCGGCGAACACTTCCATCACCTTGGCTAGCGGCCAACGCTCTCTTTGAGGAGACTTGTCCATGCAGAGGACAATGTCACCCGGCTTGATGTTGCGGCTGCGTCGAGACCATCACTGAAGCACATTCAGCCGAGGCACTATTTCTCGAAGCCATCACCGCCATACCTCGCGTAGGAGCTGTTGGAGGAGCCGCCAACGACGCTGTGGGTGCAACTCAGCGACTTCTTCGAGTGGCAGAGTCAGCTCGCACTGTCCAGCTAGGAAGTGCATCAGTGTAAGCGGAGCGGCGTCATCCACGTCAGTCCGGACAGCGGTCAATGAACGCGAGTTGAGTAGGCCTTCCGCACTCACCATGGCAGTTACAAGTTCCTCATCAGTGAGATTGGCCTGGTACAGAGTTGCCATAATTGAGCGCTTTGCTGCCTTGACAACACACTAAAGTACGCCGCCAAAGTGCGGAGCGAGAGGCGGATTGAAGCGCCAGTGAACTCCTTGGCTGGTCATACTTGCGGCCACTTCATCAGAACCTAGTGCTTGAACGGCTTCTCTTAGCTCGCGCTCTGCACCGACAAATTTGGTCCCGTTGTCTGACACGACCTCAGCTGACACGCCTCTGCGCTTGCAGAAACAGGTGAATGCTAGCAAAAATGACTCGGTGTCCAGGATATATGCCATCTCGAAATGACAGGCTCGAGATTGCAAACAACAGAAGACACAGAGGTACCTCTTGAGCTGGGTCTTGTCACGTCCTTGTTTTGTCCGGAGCCTTCAGCTCTGGACGCTTGTCCAGCAATTTCTCTAGCATGCGCAGGCGATGGTCTGCCATGGCGCGATTAGCAGTGACACCAGGCTCGCCGTTGCTGTGGACCCATGGGATTGCCATGGTGAATCGCGGATCATGGAAGCTGATGGATTTCTCAACAATCTCCTCAGCCAGCTTCTCTGCAGGGGTGATGTAGGTGCCTTCGTGCTTCATACCGACTGCCTCCAGATTCCAGAAATTCTGGACCAGGCTGTCTATGTTGCATTCGCCGTATAGAGCATGCACGAAGTTGGCGGACAACTCGTCATCACCGGGTGCACTGGACGTTGGGCCCAAACACACCCATCCCAGTGGCGTCTTGCGGGCAATTGGTCCACCGCTGCTGCTTCTGTACTCCGTGAGTGTGGTGTGGGCATCAATGACGTCTAGACCAATCAGGACGTCGACCATGGTGCTGGAGATTTCGGGAAAGTCTATGAATTTCAGATGCTCATAGCTGGACTTGTACCGGTTCCAGTCGACGACCTGCGTCTTTTTGGTCACACGATCATATACGCATGCCTTGAGCGGGTATGACACTGTTCCATCAATGGATTCCATCTGTTCATTGACCAGTTCCCGATAGCCGGAGGTCTGCTGCGCACCAATCGTGGATGTGTTCAACATGTGAACTTCACCTGCCATGTCCAACTCATGGGCTACATCATCCCGTATGAAGCTTGCAGTCGAGCCTGAGTCCAGCATGGCTGTACAGATTGCCGACGTGCCAGTTGGGCCAATAATTTTCACTGGCACGGTAGCGAAAGTGGTAGTCTGCGGCACGCTAATACTAGCATGGTGAGAACTTTCCAGCCGAGGTGCCATAGCTGCTGGTAGCATCGTAGCGGGATTCTGCGCTACAGCTTGTTGTGGCTGTACTGACTTGCTGTAGTGCAGAAGTGAGTGGTGCCTCTCTCCACAGTGGCAACGTTTCAGCTTCTGGCACTCACGCCCCCAGTGTCCATGCTTCAAACAACAGCTACACAGCTTGGCACGCTTGACCAGGTCCCAGCGGCGCTTGGTTGTCAGCGCCCTGAATTCCGGACACTCTGCTGTGACATGGCTCTCGCTGCACTTGGTACACTGCTGAGTACTGAGCTCCACAGCATACACAGCAGATGACCTAGGCTTTGGCGGGACCGCAGGAGGTGTCTTGTTCAACTTCTCTGTGCTGACTGTCGCCAAGATGTCATCGGCTCGCTTAGCGTTCTGGACCCGTATTACCAGCCAGAATGACAGCGTGGTTGCGTTGCATTTGCTGTCTGGATGTTGTTCGTAAAATCGTATAACTACACTTCTGGGTAACTTCTCAAGCGCACTTAGGAATAGCTCCCTACCAGGGGTCTCTCCAGCCAAGTCCAGGTTCACGAGCACATTTCTGAGCTTGACAGCAAACTTCCGGACAGACTCGGTGTCCCTTTCAGAGGCAATGCGCGGGTGATTCAGAATCTTCCTCTCTAGCAAGACAAGATGGCGATCGAAACCACCAAACTAGCGCTCAAGCTCCGTCGAGGCTGCAGTGTATGCACCCAGACCCTCGAAAAACCATTGGAGGCATCGAACTATTAGAAGACTGTATTACCAAACATGTTCTCAAAACACCATTGAAGAAACCAACTCAAAAAGAACAAAGAACGGAGAGCTGGGGACGCACGTACCCGGCCCCGTACCGGACGCACTTCCCAGGAGGACGACACCGTAGCGTCCCCACGCTTGACTGGCAAAGAAAACAGCAAGCAAAGAAAACCTGCCAGAGGGCGCATTTCACACATCTTGAACGACACGCGCAAAGCAAAACACGTGACAGAAAATAATGCATGATGTCATCTGTGCTCACTCGGACATGCACAAAAGGTCAAATCTACACAAAAGCAAGTGCAACAAGAAACTGCACAAATAAAATTATAATTCAAACAGCGAAGAACTAGAAAGGCAGATTTCTAATTATCGAAGAACAAGAATGTATCGTAGAGTCCCAGCGCAACTGCCGGAGGATGCTGGCACCCACCAGACGGGTGGTGAATGCGCCTGCCAGAGAGATAGAACGAAAACTGAAGCAGAGGAGCCACGTTACAAATAGTGAAATGCACAATGTGAGAATAATCGAGCAGTGTCCAATTACGACATGCTGAGTAATATACATGTTAAACGAAGACAAACACTAACAAATGAAGAACATTCCAACAACCTTCCAACTTGAGAAGGTGCATGTATATTTGTGCTAAATCCAAAGTGGGGAAGGTGAGCGCCATCGATTCGACGACCAACTACACATGATTCCAAGGTGTCAAGGAATGCTTGCTTGGTACGATAAAGGGACCGCAAGACAAAACTGTCAAACAACAATTCCCTAAAACTTGGCATTTTAAAATATCCATGAACTTTATCAAACTAGAAGGCCGTTGGTTTGCGCTATGGAGCAGTGCTCAAGCTGACTTTCATGCCGTGGAATGTCTTCGTTCTCCTTGTCAGATTTGTTCAAACATGTGGTTTAGTTGGTGGACTTGATCGCATAACTTGTGCCCACCTTTTTCCATGTTACAATTTTTTCCTTGGCTCACCGTCTGAGTTATTTTATCTTATTCCCGTAGCTTTGCAAAAGACGTTACTTCAGTAACGTCTGGCGCTAACCAGGGTCTACACAGCTTTAATTCCGTGTTTGTGCCTGGCGCTATCCCGTACCTGTTCCGTACTGTGCCATCAAAGAAAGCTATCCACAATATTAATAGGGTTTTCAAATGCAAGATCATAACGGAAAGCAACTTGGCAGAATGAGTATGTATGCGAAGTTTATCAGGGGAATGCATGGGAATGGGGTGTATCGGGGGAATGCATGCATGTCTTAAAAAATAGGAGAAATCAAAAATGTATAACATCCCTATGCTTTGTTTGCCTAGGTGATAAAGGTGGTAGACGGTGTCGTATTAACCTCGAATGCAAACAGAAACCGCCACGATGTGCTTTTGCACTTCTCTACGCACATTGTCACTAGGTACCGCGCTTTGCTGCCTTCTTTTATACTGCTGTTGTTTACATGTTCACCTCATTCCTGATGATGGTCATGAAGACCGACACGTTGAAACGATACCTCTAATGGATTTGTGTGAAATGCAGTGCTCTCTTGAGTGTAGGCTGGTTGCCTGAAAACTATTCAAGTGCAAAAAGAACGTTTCTAATAACATGCATAATAGCAAAAAAAAGCATAGCGTAGGGCCCTGAGCTTCCAAGCTCTCTCGCTTATCTTTCTCTTTCAAGCGGCTCTCTCTGTCTCTATCACTCTTTATCGTTCTACCTCTCTCTATCTCTCTCTCTCTCTTTTCCTATCTCTCTCTCTATCTCTCTTTTTCTATCATCTCTCTCTCTCTCTTTCTCTCTCTCTTTCTCTCTCTCTCTCTCTCTCTCTCTCTCTCTCTCTCTCTCTCTGTCTCTATCGCTCTCTCTCTCTCTAATCTCACTGGATCTCCCTCCCACCCTCCCTAGATGCATTTCTATTGATGCCTGGTCGTGCGCGATAATTGCGAGATCTCCGAGCAGACGAGCCTCACAAACCACATCGGTACATCGCCCCTACTCCCCTTTGTCTTGTTGTCCAGTGTCACTTCAGTTGTACTCTTTTCCTCATTATTAGTAGGGTTTAGTTTATTAGTTAACCCTTTGCCGGTCTAACTCAATGTATGTGAGGGGTGGTCACGCAAATACATGTACACACAACCAGCAATAACTCAAGAACCATGTGATGTAGGTATGGGTAAACCATATATTTTCAAAATCTGTGTGCCTGAACGCGTCCAGAAAATTCAAATATGACTAGGTCCAGGCAAGGATAGGGCCCATGGTAGCCCTTCAAGTTGAGAGAAAATACAATTGCGAATGAAATACACGAATATCACAGCACGAAGGGCATACCAAGTTCGTGATGGAGCTGAAGTCGTACGATAAACAATCAGGTAAGGGCTACGTCTTTACAAGAAATGTAGGCTCTCTACAATACCGCCATTGAACACCAACACCTCGCCATCGGCGATACGCCAGCAGCAGCAATTTCCATTGCACGATATCGCAGCTTCGGTTTGTTCATCTCAGCGCTGCTCGCGTCAGATTCACTCTCGCTCAGATGAGTACTCAGGCGCGAGCTTACGCATGCCGTGATTCTCACGGCCAGGCGAATCAGCTGATCGCACCTGACGAGTCCTTGTGACAGTCGCTGTCGCCGTGTCGGCAGCAAGAAGGCTTCCTCTCTGTTTGGAGAATTTTGTTTCTTCATTCGTGGACGATATATTTTTGAACTAGCAGGACTCAACGGAGCTCTTTTTCTCAACACACTACACTGCAAAACCTCCCGGGACATCCAGCCTGGACGGGTGATGTTACTGCTCTCAGAGCGCTTGTCAAACACGGCCCCAAGAGATACACTCGCATTCTTGAAATGCGCGCATGGCGGATGGTCGTCTTTTCCAATTTCAACAAACTTCAGTCGATCGATACGGCAAACATTTGTATGGTATGCATGGTTGTTTTGCAAAAGAAAAAGAAAAAAGCCGCTGCTCTGCGTTGTTCAGACACATCAGAGCAGTGATCGCGCACGAAATAGGAAGGTCATTTGTCAAGAAAAGCCAATAAGGAGAGCTAAGGATGCAAATTTGAATCCAAGTCATTTCTTAGGTTAATTACCCAATTGTCTACTCCCGCTACGGTTCTGTTACGGCTGTCCACAGTAAGTGGAGGGTCGTAAATTTTGTACTTGCAAGATTTGCCGCACACTCACCTTGACACGTTGGACTGCTGGACCAGCTGCCATTCACCGAGCAGACTATTGTCCTATCGCTTTTGGGCTCATATTCATCATCGCACGACACTGTCCTCACACTGCCAACCGTGTTCTGTCCTTGAGAGACTTGTCCATTGGCAACCGTGAGGGAGCTGCACTCCACAGATTCTGTGTAAACAAACCACAAACACAGTACTGCTGGGCTTCAGTTCTCAAAAATCATCAATTTTAAAGACAGAGTCTTTGCATTCTACTTTGCCTATCGGGGATGATGATACTCATCATAAATGCTAGCGCACTTTGAGATGAAGTCAGACCCAGGTATAGCCAGCCAAATTCCTCTCCTTTGAACTCTTCATCTGGCTTTTGCTCGCCTGCTACCGCTCCCTGTCCCTGTTCCTATACCCTTAGGCCGCGGTCACACCGAGCTCGATTCAGCCGTTCAGCCGAAACAAGCGCTTGTTTACGTCACTATTACCATGGAAATGGCTGAAAAATGTCCTACAAGCGACTTTCAGCCGTGGCTGACTCTCAGCCGTTTTTTTCCGGCTTGTTTCAGCCACAGCTTGTACAAGCGGCTGAAAGCCGAAATTCAAAAAATAATTTGAGTGCGCTTGGAGCTCCGGAGCACACCATGTAGTTGACATGATGAACTGATGTTCTTTCTTGTGTCCGTGGAACCGTGCTATCCATGTGCCTTTGGCTTTGGTTTTGACCGTGAGTCTGTCTACCCCAACTACACTGTATTCAGTTTGATTTGGATTTTGTCCGACGACCATGGATTTCTGCCGCTGTGCCTCTAGACTGCTGCGTAGATTGTTGGAGCTGTGGTTTGAGGCCAAGACAAGGCACCACACTCACGACCGAAATCATGAAGAAAGCCGGGTACGAAGAAGAGAGTGGATTGCAAATGAGTTCAATAACGGCAACCGGCGGGGCAGAAAGCTCGACATCAGGAAACACCACCCGAACCATCGCGTCCATGCACACCGAACAAATAAAAAGAGCACGACTTCGCAATTCAGAATCCGGGCTTCCTTTGCTTCTTCATCAAAACTGAACACTAGAACAAGTACAGTTTTAGATCGCGAACGTTCTGCTCTCCAGTTTCTTGCAAACATTGGTGTGTTTCGAGATATTCAAAATTATTTGGCGGGTAAGAAAAACAAGCCATTCAAGCTTTGCACTCAAGGTCTGGTGTGACCGCGTCACAAGGATCACGCAAGCCAGCTGAGCGCCAGCGATAACAAGCCCAAAGTGGCTTGTTTCGGTGTGACCGGGGCCTAACCCTCTCCTCGTTAGTCCTCTCCTCACCTCGTTCCCCTCCATTTTTTCCAGATGAGCAGTACTTCTGTCTCGTCATATTGGGCTGTTGTTCAGCAAGTGGCGCTTGGGGCGGCTTTATTAGTATTCGAGTGTCTTCGAGGGCAAGGATCCCATGATGTCTTAGTGCTGGTAGCATAGCGACAAGGTATATATGGAGGCGCTGGCCCTTGAAGATGGCCTTTGTGATGGCCGCCCGGCATTCAACGGGCTGAATTCATCGATTCGTTTGAGGGACTCAGCAAGTCACCAGACGAAAGTTGGATGGCTAAACAGTACTAGGTAGTTTGGATCGATGTGCGATACATACTCACACTCGTACTCCTTACACTTTGCCCTCTCATTGTCTCGCATTGTTAATATTTCTCACTTCATCACAATTTTTTTCTCTTCGTCTACCCTGTTAATAGTTCACACTTCTCTAGTCTTTCGTACTTCACCTTCTCTCTTCCGATTTTTCTTGCACATAGTGCATTTCGTACTCTTCCATGGTTATATTATTCTTGTTCACGGCTAGAATTCATGATTGAGACGTATTTCCCTAATGACTGTCTCTAGAAAAAATGGTAAGAAATTTTATTCTCCATATTATATTACGAAAAGTAAGGAAAAGGTCAAAATGTTACTAGTTATCACAAACTGTCCACCAACGTAACCAGATTTCCTTTTTTATCATAATTGAATTGGCTCAACATCCGAGTTCAACCATATTTTATTCTTGTTCAATACTACGTCCGATGTCCGCTTCGCTGATTCTGCTGATTGCTAAAATTATTAAAATTATTTTCTCCGAGACGCTTATTCGTATAGTGTGTTCGGCTGTGCTGTATTATTGTGAGCAGCAGCCACCCATCGGTCTTGTACCTTGTTTTAAGGGGGTTTCAGTTCCTGTTTTTCGATTTTTTGGTTTTTGTCAATATCCAAAGAACAGAGGGTTTTGCTTCCAAGTTATAAGGTTGTTTGATTGAGCCCAGTATATGTGTAGGAGCTTGGTGGCATGGATTTCGATGCCTCAGTACTCCCTGTCAGTTTTCTTCCTTGTTGTTGCACTACTCTAACATTCGGATGGAGAGCCAAGGAAACATGTATAGTAAAGAAAATAGGACCAAGAAACTACATGTAGTTAGTTGTAGAACGTCAGTACCGTCGGTCAGTGTCGTGCAATGTTATCGCATGAGCTGATTGTATAGTAACTAATGGTGATAGTGGACATTATGGCGTAACTTGTAGTTTCTTGGTTGTATTTTCTTTACTCTAACATTATGATCTGTTTACTTTTAAAGAGAGCATGTCTGAGAAAACCAGAACATATGTGCAAGTCGATCTCTCAGATTTCGCTCACATTTTGCAGGTAGGTTTGCTTTCGGGTGTTGATCGACAGCATCCCAGAAGACGAGGGCAATCATCCCTTGACGCCACAAATGATCGTCTTGAAAATAGCCAAATTACAAGCGCTGATAAAACTGCGAGCCACGTCCTCAATTAGCTAACACTATACACCGGCAGATAGTAGAACACCTCTTCTAGCACTGAGCACATGTCCCCCATCATCCTTTTTGGGTTTTCTTGAAATAAAAAATTTTGAATTTTTCCACTCGACCATTCTGAAATACGTCCAAACTCATACCTGCGCAGGAAAGCTCGCTCCTCCGCGACATCTAGTCAGCAATTTCTACTCCAACACCACTCCCAACGCTGCAGAACAAAGCGTATTGTTGACTCTGACAAGGAAAAGCAGCAGTGATCACTTGTCACTCCAAACGACAAGCTTCTCCTTGCGCCACCAACATTTTTCGGTGCAACAGTTGATGCAAAAGTGACTGAATTTTTGCGTGTAAGTTTTTGGATTTTACTGCAAGAGGAATGAAGAATTCACGTTCATTGTGACGTACAATAATGCTTTCGGGTGCACGACACAATGCACATGATCACGATCGTTCCCGAGGCGCTATTCGAAACGGACCATGAGGGAGGAGGTAAGATGCATTATATTTCTTGCATGCTCTGCTCAGAACATTCAGAAACTATCGTTATAGCACTAGCAGTATTGCATTGGCAAGAATTCTTTGAGATATTTCCTCTTGCAGTAAGAACAGGGATGCATTTTTCACACTAACCTCGCTCATCCCGAACAGGGTTCAACAGGAACTTCTGCTAGTTTACATGCTGATGATCCACATAGATCTGCAACAGCAAGGAATTACCGTTGTCCATGCCATCAAGGTCGCTTGCGGCTTGGAGTTGACCAGTGCTCGGCCTACACTGGTTGGGTATGTGGCGCGCCCACATGGCAGATTTCTTACGTCATGAACAACGTGATTTGACCCTGCTCGCCCTAGTCTGTGTGCTGCATGTTGAGGGAAAGTCCCGGCTGGAAGGCCTACAACACGACATGCGTGCTCTTTGAGCTGGACATCAAGATGCACTTGATCCGATCTAGATCAACGGGTGATCCATGTAAGTGCAGGTGCGCTTGATCAAGGTGACTCGGAACAACTGCTGAACCGTGATCTACGAGACCTGGCATTCTTGTGTCACGGACCACATGATTTCATCATTATTCTTGCAGTAAAATCCAAATACTACACGCAAAAATTCAGTCACTTTTGCCTCAACTGTTGCACCAAAAAATGTTGGTGGCGCAAGGAGAAGCTTGTTGTTTGGAGTGACAAGTGATCACCGCTGCTTTTCCTTGTCAGAGTCAACAATACACTTTGTTCTGCAGCGTTGGGAGTGGTGTTGGAGTAGAAATTGCTGACTAGACGTCGCGGAGGGGCGAGCTTTCCTGCGCAGGTATGAGTTGGGACGTATTTCAGAATGGTCCAGTGGAAAAATTCAAAATTGTATATTTCAAGAAAACCCAAAAAGGATGATGGGGGACATGTCCTCAGTGCTAGAAGAGGTGTTCTACTATCTGCTGGTGTATAGTGTTTGCTAATTGAGGATGAAGCTCGCCGTTTTATCAGCGCTTGTAATCTGGCTATTTTCAAGACCATCATTTGTGGCGTCAAGGGATGATTGCCCTCGTCTTCTGAGATGCTGCCGTGGCTAAGTGGTGCTGCCCCAAGAACTCTTCTAAGGTGAGGTAATATTGGCTTGATGGAGTTTTGTTCGTAGCTTGTTCTTGTACGCTGTGCCGTGGCTCGTTTGTAGACCCATAAATCGTGCCAATATTGGGCCAATATTGAGGGGTATGCCAATGTCATGGTTCCCTTCAAAAGATTTTGCGCGGGCTTTGGAATGTCGATCTACACCCCAAAGCAAACCTACCTGCAAAATTTGAGCGAAATCTGAGAGATCGACTTGCACATATGTTCTGGTTTTCTCAGACATGCTCTCTTTAAAAGTAGACAGTTCGTCATAACTCACAACGCATAACAATTTGTCCTTCCATTTTGTCATCCTGGATTCACTTTGTTCAGTGTCCATATCGTTAAAGTGGTTTCACCGAATATCAATTTGCGGCACACATGTAAAGTAGAGAACACACTTACGGACACACTCAGGTATGCTAGACCAATTGCCATCGTCAAGGCAGATCACTATTGAGTTTCCCATTAGCTCGAAGCCAGAAGTACATGTGACACCGTGAATGTTGTTCAAGTTGCCTGAGCCGCTTGACACATCTCCATTATCCACAGTGAGGGGAGGGCATGTCGAGAGTGCTGTACGCCACCATACGAGTGAAGATACACACACACACACACACACACACACACACACACACACACACACACACACACACACACACACACACACACACACACACACACACACACACACACAAATACACACACACACACCTCAGACCTTAGACCTGCCCATCGCGGAAGTTATGATAGTGAACAGCTGTGTGACATATAAACTTCTGCTGGGATTACACCATTGAACAGCTTGCAAGGCTGATGAATTGACCGCCACTAATTTTAGCCTGGTATCCACCACACAGCTGATTGCAGTGGCATTATCTGGCCAGTGAATCCCTATTTTCCATTTTGTCATTTTTTCATTTTAATATTTCCATTTTCATTCCTTCTTTTACACACACACGCCACAACACCTACTCCGGCATACACTGGCTGTTGGTAACCAACCAGGAGAATGAAATAAGAGCTAGGAGAGTGAGAAAGAGAAGAAATACGTGTGTGACCATAATCGCTGGGAATTGAACCCGCAGCCTCTCGAGTGGAAATCGACTGCACATACCATTGCAACCTATGGGACACACACACACACATATAATTATATACACACACAACCACACACACACACACATGCACACACACACACATCACTTGACTATCTGATACTCATCGCCGGAGGTGATGATAGCGATGCTACAGCAAAAGCCATAGCAGCTCGTGCTGGGATTGTACCCTTCAACAGCTTGCAAGGCTGAAGAATTGGCCGCCACTTTTCAGCCTGGTCTACACCACACAGATATAACGTGGCTTTTTCTGGCCAGTTACCCCCCCCCCCCACAAACACACATACATGCATGTGCACGAACTGAAACACACAAACAAACACGCCAAAACATACACACACACACACGCACACACACACACACGCACACACACACACACAAACACACACACAGACACACACATACACACACACACACACGCGCGCATGCAGCCCCCCCCCCCCCCCCACACACACCCACACAAATTCACGCCTAACCACTTTCCCTCTTGCTACCCTCCAGATGTTATGCTTTGAATTTAAATTAATTAGTTACCATATTACATTTTCTTTAGAGCCCAATTCAAGATTATTGGCACAGTTAGATAGTTTCGCAATAAGGCATAATAGATGATAGCATCAATGAGGAGATTTGCATCAGTCTCCTCACTGGAATATTGAGAATGCACCGAGATACTAGAGTGGTTTTTCATTCTGAATTTCGGAATGTTTTTCGACTGTGCTTTTCCGAAAAAAAGTGCATGCCGAAAAACGGCATTTTCAGTGTTTTGCATTCCGAAGATATGATTCGACTTCGTTTCCAAGGGTTGCCATGCAAAACAAAATGGAGAGCTTCGAAGGCGCCAAAACCGAAACCGTTTTGCGTCCGAATCTTACAAATTCGGTTTTGAGGCGTGCTGGTCCAACATTCAACAGCAGCAGCGTGGTGGTCTCTGACGGACTTCCTGGTGACACCAGCAAACTTTTCGTCTCACGAGACTAGAACCTTTGCAGTCTCCTCGGATCCCACAGAGCCGCGACCAAAAGGGGTTGAGCACAAAATTTGAGTTGCCTGAGCAGGATCAAATCCATGTGCAGGTCAAAATGAATTTGTGCGGTTTGAGGACGGACTGATGGTGGGCTGAGTGATGCAACAGCTGAAGACGAGGTTGGCGAACTACTGTCTTATAATGTCAGTAGGCTCCATGGCAGAGGAAGATAGAGTGTAATGGAGTGTGAGAAGATCTAGTCAACATGGCGAGATGAGCGAGAGCAGCAAAAACCAGCAAAAACCAAAACTACACACGTGGACAATTTTCAAATAATTATAATCAGGGAGATCATGGATGCAGCAGAAAACAAAAATACACACATGAAAATTATTCAAATACGCGCTGCCAAACAGTAAAGAGCCGAAAATCCATTTTCGGAAAACCATGCACTTTCGCCGCCACACTTCCGAAAGTTCGACTACTTTTTCGACTCCTGCCACATTCCGAAAAATAATTCCGCAAATCGTAATGCAAACCCTCTGTAGTGGCAGGTTCACAAGCCGAGGGAATGTCAACACATAGCTGATGCGGCACAACAGCAGCAGCAATGCCAGAATAGCCTGGGCAATTATCCTGCGATACACTTCGCCAACAGCTCTGGGGCGTACGCCAGGGTTTTTTGTTGAAAGCCACCAAACGCGCTGCTAAAAAATGCATCCACTCCTGCACCTCTGACTTGATCCGTACACAACTTCCTTGCGGCAGCAGCCATGGCAGCAGCAAGGTTGGACGACGCACCCTTGAAGGAGGACAGCATACGTTCCCATGCCTGCATATCAAGGCCCGGCGGACTGCATGACTCTTTTCTTAACAACATCTGCCGCTTCATAAATAATGGATTAAGGTTCTGATGGCTCACCAGGAAGGAGAACACCCGAGCTGAGGCTCGGCCAGGGCAGGATGCTTTTTCTGTAAGGTCTCCTTCACAGTCTCTTCAGTGTCAGCATTACACACATCCTGTGAATTTAGCGGCAGTAAACCACTCTTCTCAAATAGAAGTTTAGTAGTACCGTAAAATCCGTCGCTTGGGTAGCTCTCTCCCTGCGAATACGCCCGGCCTCCTGCCTGCTGAGGGCTATTGCCTCGTTCAGCTGGTCTGTTTGGGTAGTCTCATTAGTGCTTGTTGGGGGTGCTGGTGGTCGTGTGCAGGAAGCCACAGGAGCCACAATCAATCTGGATGCAGAAAACTCTTTCTTGGCCTCCACCGAGGGCACAGGGATTGCCATGCCACCAAACCGCGCTGGTAGCGATAGCAGCTTTCTCAGTGCCGACTCATCCGAACAGGAATGGCCGCTGAGCGCTGGCAGCAGCTTGGTCGTAATGGCGGCGTCGAGACGGTCCAAAGAGATTCGCCGGGCAAGATAGGACGCGCAAGTGATACCGCCACTTGGACACGAGGCCCTTTACAAACACCTCATACGCAGCATGTGGCTGGTTGGAAGCCACCTCCGCCAGGCGATTCACTTGCAGCATCCACTTGTCGATCAACATAGCAGTGAAGAAAGTGTCAAGGAATTCACTGAGCAACACTCTGCAGCAGTGAACAAGCCGGTGAAGGTTCACCAGTGCAGCATACGCACCACAGAAGATGGGAAAGTGTCTGCCCGCTTGATGATCGATGCGACTGAACGTGAAATCGCCACTGCTCCAAACTTTTGGCCTCGCCCACTGTACGTGCGGGTTTGGCGCCACCGTGAGCGTCCGAAGGGGGACAACTTGTCCGGCTCACACAGTGACGCTCTCTCCGAGTCCTCCGACACTCAAGCTCAAAGCTCCAATTAGATCCTTTCGGATCCTACTGACGAACACATTTGGACTACTGAGTAAACTGGGTGACTTTCACCATGCTGTACACATTCACCAACCTGACATTGCCATTGTCACAGAGAGCAAGCTAACCCCTGAGAAGGCTACTGATTCCGAACTGTCCTTGCCTGGCTACTACTCCCACTGCGGAAGGATCGAACAGCTCATGGAGGAGGAGTTGCGGTTTGGGTTAAAGCCGGTCTGGCCCTCCGGGAACTCGATGATATCCAGGTCGGTAATGAGGAGCTAACATGGCTGGGTGTCAGAACTGTGGATAAGAAGTCAGTGGCTGTGTGTGCTGCATATCACTCTGGCTCCTGCCACGACAATGACATCAGTACCCTTGAAGCCATCAGTGCTGGCATAGACCTGGCCCGTAAACCTTGTCAATATGTGGTATTGGCTGGAGATTTTAACGTACACAACGTGGATTGCCTCGGCAGCACCAAGACAACTCATGCAGGTGTGTACACTGAAGACATGTGTGCTTTTCACTGCTTGGAGCAGCACGTGCATGAGCCCACCAGGGGCCTTAACCCACTCGACTTAATAATGACTGACCTACCGGGAGATGCGATAGTCAATACCTTAGCACCTCTGGGAAACTCTGACCATGCCTGTGTCCTAGCTGACTTTCATGTAAGCACGACAGAGGAACCACCAGTGACCAGAACTGTCTGGCGTTACCAACGCGCAGACTGGGACAGACTCCGCCAATTCTTTAGAACGACAGATTGGCAGTCCACCGTCAGTGATGATCCTGATGCAATGTGTATGCACTTGACCCAGAACATTCTGGAAAGAATGCGCCGATACATGCCATCTAAGCAGTTGTGAATGAAACCATCTAATCCCTCTTGGTGTACACCGGAATGCACTGAGGCTGTAGCACAGAAACAATAAGCATGGAGGAGACTCTGCGCCGACTGGTCAAGTGCCCAGCTGCAAGCCCGTTACAATGTCGCCAAGCACTCAGCTAACCATTGCCTGGAAACTACCAAGCAGGCATTCACAGCAAGCTTGGCGCAGAAGTTAGCCTCTGGGTGTATGGCATCTGGTGAATGGTGGCGAACCATCAAGAAGGCCTCTGGCGACGGAAACAGCCCATCCATACCTACTCTCCGCAGCACCGATGGCACGGAGCACGACACCAACCGCAGCAAAGCAAAGTGCATGGACGAACACTTCGCCAACAAATGCAGTCTAGGGACAGACGACCTATCCACTCCATTTCCTCACGTCCGACCACATACTGACCGCAACCTCTGCACCGTCCGGTTTTGCGAGACCACAGTCGAGCAAACTCTCCGCCAGCTCTACCCCACCAAGGCCACTGGTCCAGATGGGATACCTGCCCGCGTCTTGAAAGCTTGCTCTACAGAATTGGCACGACCGCTTTCAAAACTATTTACAAGCTATCTTCGCTCCGGCATCCAGCCGCAACATTGGAAGGCTGCAAACGTGGTTCCAGTCCAAAAGCGCAAGTCTACATCGTCGCCATCAAACTATCGACCAGTGTCGTTACTGAGCGTCCTCTCCAAGGTCATGGAGACCATAGTCAACAGGGCAATGAGCAACTTCATGGAGACGAATCACGTCCTGTCAGAACGGCAATTTGGCTTCCGTCGCGGCCACAGTGCAGCAGATCTGCTGACTGCTCTCCACCACCAGTGGGTGCACACCGCAGGAGTTAAAGGAGCTTCTCGAGTGCTGGCCATCGACATTGCTGGAGCATTTGACCGGGTGTCTCACACAGGTGTGTTGCACAAGGCTAGAGTGTATGGCATCTCGGGAGACCTTCATCGGTGGCTCCAACACTACCTCTGCAACCGCACACTTCAAGTCCTCATCTCCGGCCAGACATCAGCCAGACGCTCAGTTAAGGCTGGGGTGCTACAGGGCAGTATCCTGGGCCCCACCTTATTCTTGGTCTACGTCAAAGACCTTGAAGACCACCTCCCAATCGGCTCCAGCCTTGCCTCATTCGCCGACAACACAACCCTATACGCCGAAATTGCAACTCTCACTGCTGTTCCTGACAACGCTAGAGTATTCCAGGCTGCTGTTGACCTAGTATCCAGTTGGGGCTTGGATTGGAAAGTGCAGTGCGAGCCAGCCAAATCTCAGGCCCTTACAATTTCCCACCATCTTCGGGACTGGCCAATATCCCCCATTGTCTTCAATGGAACTCCTGTCGAGGAGCAGCCCTCCATCAAAGTACTCGGCGTCATGTTTGACCATCAGCTAAAATTCAGCCAGCATATCCGAACTGTTGTAGTCCGAGCAACGCAGAGACTTGGAGCCTTGCGCAAGGCATTTCACTTGCTGGCTATTCCTGACAGGCATCGAGCCTACAAAGCCTTTGTCCGGCCGGTTATGGAGTACTGCCCAATCGTCTGGATGGTTGCAGCTCCTTCCCACTTGAACCGGCTGGACTGGGTGCAGGAGCGAGCAATCAAGGCAATACATCCGCAATGCTGGCTTCCTAGCCTCATAATTCGCCGCACCATCGCTGCCCTCTGCCTCCTGTATAAAGCCCTTTGCGATAATTCTCCCTCTCTTCTCTCGAGAATGGCTCCACCCCCGACACACCAACCCAGGACCACACGCCTCACCTGCCAGGCTGTACGACTGTCCACCGTGCATCCCCATCAGTTACAGAATGTTCTTCCGGCCAATTCCCGGAACAATGTGAGCCGAGCCTTTCCCCACTCCATCATCCCAATTTGGAACCAGCTGCCTTCCTCTGTCATTCCCACCCTTTTCACCCAAAGAACATCCAAAATTCAAGACAGCAGCTTACCACCACCTCCTCAGAACGAACTGGCACTGGGCCACTCATAGCATACGCGAGTAAGAGGGTACAGTGTCCTACCCTGCTTGGTCATACATGTAATCTCTCCTCACAGACAGTCTCCTCTTGAATTTAAAAGTCTAACAGCGTTATCAATACTCAACTTATTCTTTTGCTCACTGAGCAGTACAAACTTTCCATTTTCTTTCTTCTGTTTTCTTTTTCAATTTAATCCTCCCTACCCAATCTCCCTTTGGTGCGTCCATGGAGCTATGAGGCCGAGACCTCAGGTCGGCGGAGATTAATGGGCCCCACCACCACACTCCATCATTCACCCCTGTATCTGGAGATATGTGGATTTTGTAGAAAAAAATACAAGTGATTACCAATGGTCCATTTCTCTGGTAACCTGGAAAACAATTAGCAATCGCTACTACTTGTAATGTAATATCCGTTCGAGAGGTTTGGTGTTGAAGGACATGTGGCTGGTTGGAAACAGTTGATTCGAAATATGCACACAAACACACACGCACACATAAACACAGGCATACACACATGTACACACTTAGCCCTTTCAGGAACTACAAGTAACGCACTAATATGTCCACTAACACCACCAGTTACTAAACAAGCAGCTCATGCAATAACATTGCTAAAATTCTTTTCTATAAATTTATCCTTGGCTCTCCAACCGAGTCCATTTCTCCATGTGCTCAAGCGGGTATTTGTGCCAGCTCTGCTGCACGTTATTGACCTATTACTGCCCAAGAACAGTACTCACATGTACACTATTTCAATAACACCACATTACAGCAGAGTGCTAATAATCAACGGGTTCAGCTGGGGAGAAGATTTAGATAAGGGGGTAGTCACACCTCCACCTAAGACATGCACACTCTCTCATGTTGCCATCATTAATTTTTTGTATTATCTTCATCAGTTCCACAAGAAGTAGACACACCCTAGTTCTTCAAAATTACTCTATTGTCATACATTGTCACTCTCACTGTTGCAGAATATATCTTGTGCACCCCTTCAATGGTGCTTCGGTAGGTGAACATGACCAAAAAACCCTTTCCATCCCTTCAAGAGCCAACAGAAATTGGCATACCGGATATTGGAAGACTGTTGGAGTGCGCACTCAAGATGTGCTAGAGCGGCTAGCCAGCTAGTTGTAAAACCTTAGTACAGTCGGCCAGTGTCGTGCAATGTTTTCTGATTGTTGAGTGACTGGTGCTGTTAGTGGACATTATAGCGTAATTTGTAGTTCATTGGTTCTTTTCACTTTTTACAAATAATCCTTGGCTCTCCATCCGAGTTCATTTTATGACAATATCTTTGCCGTTGTCTCCACAATTGCACTGATGCACTGGATCACAGTGCCCAGATGCTATAAATGCACTGTGATCCTGAAAGGGTTAAAACTATGAAGAAGATAATGTATTGTATCATGTCTAGTTCATTCAACTTACGTGTACAAGTTGGAAGAGAAGCATTACTAGGCCACTGGCCACTTGTACAAGTAATAGCAGCTGTTCCATTCAACTGGTATCCTGGAAAACAATTGGCAGTTGTTGAACCTCCATCCATAAAACTCCTACTGTTGAAAGTAAGATAGCCGTTAGCGATTGGTGGTGCTGCAGAACATGTAGTTGCTAGTTGTAAATAGTTGATTTAATGCACACACACGCATTCGCGTACACATGCACGCACATGCACACACACACACACACACACACACACACACACACACACACACGCATTGCCGGAGGCGATGATAGCGATACTACAGCAGAAGCCATAGCAGCTTGTGCTGGGATTGCACCATTCAACAGCTTGCAAGGCTGAAGAATTGACCACCACTAATTCTCTCGCTGATTAATGCCTCTACGATCACCTTGTGATTATGAGTTATACATACATACATACATACATACATACATACATACATACATACATTCAGCCCGGTGTACACCACACAGCTATGAAGTAGGGGTCAAACGGGTGTACCTTTAACTAATGAACGGGTAATTTTCTTACCGGGCGGGTAAACGGGTACCCTTTAGCAGCCATGTTTAATTTTTGCGCGTTTTTTACATAAATAATGATTTTAATTTACATTTGTATCTGGTCTCCGGATGCATTTTGATATCACATTGTGATTCGCGAATTTATTTGTGTCTGATAGTTGCAGAGGCAGACCTACTAGGTGCGAAAATGCAACAACAATGCATGCAGACATCCAGGCCGGCAGGGTGGAGTTGTAAATAATTGATTCCCGCCGGGAATGCGCGATCCCAGCGGTGTTGTTCCGTACTGACTGGATCATCGAAATCCAAACGGGTACCCTTTTACTAACGGTACCAGAGATTAACGGGCGGGTACCAGGGTACCCGGAACACCCCTTTGACCCCTAATTATTATTATGTTGGCTTTATTTCACTCACGTTGTCATGACATGAGGTAAGAACCCCATCACCGGGCCAAAGAGACCAAGGGTAATGAGAGAAAAAAAAATGGCCAACGCAATGAAGCCGAAGCAAAAAGGATTGTAAAAACCAAAGCAAAAATATTGAAAGCCGACGCAGAAACTGAGAGACGGACAGAAATAAGCAGTACGATGGAGGATGCCAGGACATATTCGAATACAAAAAGATGGAGGAGGACAGGACATATTCGAATACAAAAAGAGTAATCACAAAAATGGACTACCAGTACAGGAATAGACCTGTAGAAATAGAGGAAGAGATGAATGCTGGACATACTCAAATGGCAAGAGAAAAATCAGGCTGTGAGAACCGTCATACTGCACATTCATGGATGTCAAAGCAAATGCGGTATTGGAGGTTTATACAGACTAGCTCTACCCGTAACATGAGGAGCCTAATGCCGAATGCCAAGAACCGACTTGATGATGTTCAGCGTGCCCAGGATAGCACATTGCTGAGCCCTTTCAATGCGCAGAGTGCCTGCCAATGCCAACACAAAGTGTGACAGGGACACACCAGTCAGTCCACCAAGCGCCCCAACAACCAGGGGCACAACGCGGACATCATCCACATGCCAGATGCGCCGCAGCTCTTGGCAAAGGGGAGCGTACTTTGTTATTTTTTCGGCGATTTTTGTGGGCACATTCTGGTCCAGTGGAACACTGACATCCATCAGCAGCACCTGTGTGCTGGACCGCAACACCAGGTCTGGACGGTTGTGGCGCACTTGCGTATCCGTTGGGATATTGAACTCCCACAGGAGCTTCATGTCAGGATTTTCCGTGACAGGCACAAGATGATGCTTCAGCGGGTTGCTTCCCGGCTGACCCAGACCATGCCGCTTGCATAGTGCCCAATGCACCAACTTGACGAGCGTGTCATGCCGTTCGATATACAGTGTTTTGGCTAGGGCTGGGCAACAGGCCACAATGTGATCAACTGCTTCTCCGCGAGTGCCGCAAACTCGACAAATGTCCACAACGTCTCCCCGTCCAATGACCGTGACCTGATAGTGCCTGGTCGCAATGGCCTGATCCTGTACAGCCAGCAAGAGTCCCTCTGTCGCAGGCCTGATCGTTGGCGATTTCAGCCAGCGAAAACTCAAGCCCAGGTCCAAGCCAGCATCAGAAGCTCGTCTCCAGAACTGGCCATGGAGAGGCTTACCTTGGATAACGGCCAGGCACCGGAGAGCAATGGCCTTCTTGACAATTACTTTTGTGGCAGTCTCCAAGTCGGGTAGGTCAAGTTCACCCAGAAGTCTGGAGGCTTGACGTGTAACTGATTTTGACGGTGCCACATCATTGTCGTGATGGCGCTTAACAGCAGCCAACAGTGGCACGTTTGGGTGGGCTTGTAGGTACCGCGCCACCCGGACACGGGTTCTATCCAGGAGATCCCGGAATGATAGAATTCCTCGACCACCCATGTCACGAGGCAGGTGGACCCTGGCGGCAGAGTCCTTGGGGTGACGGGCATGTGCTTTAAACAGTGCTTGGCGGGTCTGTCGGTCGAGTTCCTCTATCTCTGCCTTTGTCCACTCAACGATGCACAGAGAGTAGAGGATGACTGGAATGGCAAAGGTGTTGATGGCTTTGACCAAGTTCCTGGCGTTCAATTGAGACGAGCATATCAATTGAAGGCGGCGGCCGAACTCAGCCTTTGCTGTGGTCTTCAGTTCGGTGGCGTGAAAATGTGCTGATTCCGGGACACCAAGGTACCTGTAGGACTCCTCCGCCTGCAGCTTAGCAATGGCGTGACCCTGGAGTGTCTGGAGAGCAGAATGCTGATCGCTCTGGGCTCTTCCCCGTTTCATGGTGAGCCAGCTAGACTTTGATGGGTTAAATCGCATACCAATGCAGTCGCCCATTGACTCCACAACATTGGTCATGGAGAGCAGATTATTGTCGTTTCGGGCGAAGAGCTTCATGTCGTCCATGTACCACAGGTGCGATACAGGGCACACCTGGGCCGGTGGGCCACAGCGGTAGCCAAGACCCGTCCTGGTCAACTCGCCACTGATCGGATTTAGAGACAGGCAAAATAGCAGTATTATTATTATTATTATTATTATTAGTATTATTTGAAAGTAGGACGGAGGCAGAAAATATTACAAAAAATGTATTATCTACGCATGCATCTACGCAAGAGTCACCACCAGCCAATTAGGACATGTGTCAAAGTATTGAACGTTTTCGTTCCCTTCTTGTCAAAACACTACAGGGAATGATGGAAATAAGCTAAAAGACTACAACTATAAGGAAAAGAAGTTCTGAACTTCTTTTCCTTATAGTTGTAGTCTTTTAGCTTATTTCCATCATTCCCTGTAGTGTTTTGACAAGAAGGGAACGAAAACGTTCAATACTTTGACACATGTGTAATGGGTAGCCGAGTGGTAGGCGCGGTGAAATCAACAATAATTACTTTTATTCTACTTTCAGGTACACACCTGAGATATTATTATTAGTGAAAGAAGAAGCGGCAAAATAACTGACTTTCTCTCCGGTGCACACCTGGAGGTTGGATAGCTCGTTATTATCAAAATCTCATCTTCATCAAAACAGAAATGCGCAGCCGCTTTTATGCAGCAGACGCCGTACGCTTACATACGGAGATACACTAAATATACATCAGGCAAAGCTCCGCATTAGTTCCGTACTACTTCCGTATTGGTCGGGTAGGGATACTACACCCTCCCTTCCTAAAGATTATCACGCCCTCGTGATTTTCAAAAATTAGTGAAGAGTTACGAACACAGCGTCAACCGGAAGATGGCAAATTATATCGGAAATGATAACGTTTAGAGTAGACAGAAGAAATGAACTGATAACAAATCATAAAGTAGAAGCACACCAGGTTCACACGATCTCACGGGGTCAAAAGGGAAAGAACTGTCCTCCAAATAGGACCTGAAACCACAGCACTCTTGCTGCACTACGCTGGCACAACCCGCCAGGAACATCGCAGTTCAAAAACCGAACTGAATACACTATAACTATAAGGGGCGTTGTCACACACATTGTCCCACGTTAGCTGGGTAAGCCGTGGCTCACCATGATCAGACGCCTACCAAACTAAACTGGATTCACACACTCGCATAAAGGAAGACTGAAAAGAACAGGGAGACTGAAGGAAGAGAGGAAAGAAAATGCCATACCTGGAATCAGCGTTAGTAACCACGGCGGCGGCTGGAGCTACGGCGGAGAGCAAGCCAGGTTTTATCTTCATCTTGGTTGAGCCGGTCACTCAGAGCGGCTAGCTCGGCGTCAGACAGATCACTCCCTCCTCGTCTTGAATCGTGGTCTTCACATTGTCGATAGAATCGCTTGGCGCGACGTAAAGAGTGATGACAAAATCTGCATCCCACTACGGAGGCGAAGTACCAAGTGAAGAGTGGGCTCCTGCTTCCGACTGCGTGCCGGCGAAAATCAAACGCTGCTGGTCTTGGTGAATACCCTCCTTGTCTTGGGTACCAGCCTGCCTGTTGTCGTCCTCATCAGCTTCGCCATCACCACCGGTAGAAAACATGTAGGTAGCGGGTCACTTGGAATCGCCATCGGAGTCTCCAGTGTGTGCCGTGCGGAGAGAAGGGTGATCCACGCTAGCACCCTGACTGAGCTGCAGGCAAATAAGCAGTGCCAGGCCGAGGAAGGCAAGAAACATGATTCTCATCTTGATTCGTCGCACGGAGCTGTAGCGGTTTGAGCCATGGGAGTCTGGGGTCGAATCACGTTGTTTTATTTAAAACTACACCGCTGCCACCAATGTAATGGGTAGCCGAGTGGTAGGCGCGGTGAAATCAACAATAATTACTTTTATTCTACTTTCAGGTACACACCTGAGATATTATTATTAGTGAAAGAAGAAGCGGCAAAATAACTGACTTTCTCTCCGGTGCACACCTGGAGGTCGGATAGCTCGTTATTATCAAAATCTCATCTTCATCAAAACAGAAATGCGCAGCCGCTTTTATGCAGCAGACGCCGTACGCTTACATACGGAGATACACTAAATATACATCAGGCAAAGCTCCGTATTAGTTCCGTACTACTTCCGTATTGGTCGGGCAGGGATACTACACATGTCCTAATTGGCTGGTGGTGACTCTTGCGTAGATGCATGCGTAGATAATACATTTTTTGTAATTAGTATTATTATTATTATTTGTAAGAAAGGTTTGCTCTCCACACCGGAGCTCGCGCTATTCCGCCGACTTTTCTTGACACTTGTGGGGAGCAAACCTTTCTTACAAATCATCGCCGAAGTCGCAACCACTACTTCGTATTATTATTATTATTATTATTATTCCACAATCACGATGACATAGTGCCAATAAGCATGTGATGCGGGCGATTTTAACCAGCCATGGTGGGGACAACTGAGAAAAAGAAGGAGAAAAAAAGAGAGAAAAGAAAACAAAACAAAAGAAGTACTATAGGAACCTGGAGAGAGCAGTATGAAGATTAGGCTAGCAATGGAAAACAACGAACTCAATTCAATTCGACTTAGGCGCGGGCAGAATGGAACAAAATGCAGCGAAGGTGTCACGAGACTTTACCTCCTGCGGAAGCCGAGACCAATGAGAATAGGACTTGAACAGAGGGGATTTTAAAAGGATCGATGATCTGGCAAGTGGGAAATGGAGAGAACATCTAGTACGCGAGCTATTATTGAACCAGCTTAAATGTGCAAGTGCATGAGGAGGAGCAAGTTGAAGCTTAATACGGTGAATGAATTTGCATGCCGAGCGGGGAAAGCGTTCTGAGAGAGGGGAAGAGGAAGCCAAAATGTATAGCGTCTGAGAGGAGGTCAGAGGGGACATGCGAAATATTAATCGAAGTAATTTACAGTGGGTGACTTCTAACCGATGCATAAGAGCGGAGGATAGACCGGAGGACCAAACAAAGGAATCAAACATCAAACAAAGGAAGAACATAAGAGTGATAAATTTGTATTCGACTACCATGGTGTAGATGGGAGATTTGAGGAGAAATGCAGCCTATCGCGCAGCAAACCCGCTTTTCAATATAGGTTACGTGCGAATCCCAGGACAAGTGTTCATCAAGAAATATACCAAGGTGTTTGTGATTTTTAACGATGTTGATAGCAATAGGATCATCAGGGAAAGTAAAAAGCCGAGTCGTAAAGAGGGTGAGGTCACTGGAGGGTCGTGGGGGGATATAAAGGATTGCCGTTTTCGACACATTGGGGCGGAGTTTTCACTTCGACATCCAGATCACAACTTGATTAATGTGATACTGTAGCGAGTCGCAGGCTTGTAATAATCCTGGATCGGTTATATGGAGCGCTGTATCGTCCGCGTATATTAAAGTCATAAGTTTATCATACTTCAGAGTATGCAAATATGAAGTGCCGTATTGCAATCGAACTACTTGCTAGTAAATGTGAACTGCACATAATCGCACTGTAAATTACACCACAAAAAAAACATGCCATGCAGGGCCCGCATTCTCGTTATCACTCATAATGAGGACAACCTCATCAGCATGAAAACCATTGGACAATGCCAAGAGCTGTTTATGGCTCACAAGCAATGGCAGATGGATAAAGCAATTGCACTGCCATCCAAGGCAGCACTGTGTATGTAGATATGTTTATCAGACCAAGTACACTATGTTCCACTTACATGTACAAGTTGGACGAGATCCACCACTAGGCCAAGTGCCATTACCACACGTGATTGTCAATGGTCGATTTACCTGGTATCCTGGACAACAAGCAGCAAACGCTATGCCACCATTTGTAAAACTGCTAATACTGGTAGTATAATATCCGTTCGAGAGGTTTGGTGTTGAAGAACATGTGGCTGGTTGGAAACAGTGCACACAAACACGCACACACACATAAACACAGGCACACATATACACATGTAGACTCACACACACAGACACACGCGCACACACAATAGGAAGCACGCACACATGCACACACACACACACACACACACACACACACACACACACATTACACACACACACACACACACACACACACACTCACACACACACAACGCACACACACACACAACGCACACACACACACACACAATGTTCGAAACTGACCGCACCAGGAATTTGTCTCCAAATTTGGTCCTTAACCCATAACTGACCCGCCAGGCAAAATTGAAAACTATCGGTCAATGATGTTAACACGCTTTATCACTCCCTTATAGTATTGACTCCCATTGATTTTCGCTATACCTAAGCAGCCAAATATTCCTGCATATTTCACTCCTTGGGGCTATATTGACTGCTTATATTTGACTGCTTATGGGTTGCGCAGTTGAACGGTGTCCTGCGGTGCATAGTGCAACGGTTGTGCAATCATAAAACCGGGATTCATGAGGTTATGGAATTTGAAATACCGACAGTTTGTCGTGATAAATCTAAAAAAAATTGTACTTGGTCAGTATAGGAAATACAAACTTCGTAAAAGACCTCGGCTTCGCCTCGGTCATTTACTGCGCTTTTATTTCCTATATTGACCTCGTACTCCGTCAATATTAGATACGTAAATCACCTTTGGTAGCAAAAGAAGCAGGAAAGACCTACCATTCATTTTCAAAAAAACGACCGTCTTATCTTGTTCCACAAAAAAGTTTTAAGTCTCTGAAAGAGGTCTGTTTCATGCTGCGTAAGAAAGAAGTTTCCACATGGTGGAACGTTGGCAATGATTATGTTGTCCTTCTAAAACTCTGCCTAGAGTCTTCCTTGATGGCACATTCATTTTTTAGCATTATTACAAATTAAGCACTTTCACTGCCAGCTGACAACTCAAGGTGAGGTGTGTTAGAACCGATTTCTTCCATGCCTACCTTCAAAATTGGATGCACATTTGCAACGACGCTGGTTCGGGTTTTTTTCTTCAAATAGAAACTCATACGTCTGGCAGCGTATTTTGATGGGTATGGACCTCTTTCAGGGCCAATGGCCCTCTACCTCTACAAAGAATCTCCACCATTCAAATATAGAGGCCCAAACTGGGTGAAGTCTGCCTGTGGACGGAAGTCGACAGTATCACCGGGAACTGCATGTTTGCTGGTCGACGCACGTCGACTATGTCATTCAGAGTGCATGAATTCAGTCGACAGTGGCAGTGAAAGGGACTTCAAAAAGCCCACATATAGATGAGCCATACTTCTCTTCAAAAAAGAAATTCATGAAGAGTTTTTGTTCCTCTTGCAGTTGAAGGCTAGAACTTGTCTCTATTATTATTTTTCCCCATCCTATGTGTTCCTATAATTTGCAACCTTCCAAGTTGGATCGAAGGCTTTTGGATTGCGCAGCCAAGACTGGCTAGAGATGAGAGCCAGTTACAAGTAGATGTACAGGCTGGGTACTGTCAAGCAGGTTTGTGCAATGCTATCGCATAACCTGATTGTCAAGTAACTTGTGGTGTTAGTGGACATTATAGCGTAACTTGTAGTTCCTTGGTCTTTTCTTTTCTATAATTATGATTTTGTAATTACTTTCTACTTTTTTGAGGGAAAGGATGTAAACTGGAAAGTCTGAATAACAAAATGACTGTCATACCAGAACTGGAACCGGGGACCCTCGCTTGTAGCCAGTCTAACCGGGGACCCTCGCTTGTAGCCAGTCTAACCGGGGACCCTCGCTTGTAGCCAGTCTAACAGGGGACCCTCGCTTGTAGCCAATCTAACCGGGGACCCTCGCTTGTAGCCAGTCTAACCGGGGACCCTCGCTTGTAGCCAGTCTAACCGGGGACCCTCGCTTGTAGCCAGTCTAACCGGGGACCCTCGCTTGTAGCCAGCGATGCTCCAACCAGTGAGCTATGGTGTAGCCGTTATCCCAGCAGAGACTGTTCGACATTTTTTTTCTAATATATATTCATATTTCTCTAGGGCAGTCTTCACATACCCATAGTCTCCTTACGGGGTACCCTAATTTCTAGAGACCTCCTCATGCCTTTCCAAAAAGGCCAAAATTGTCAACATCACTTAAGGGAACCTAAAGTCAGTCGTGTAGCTCACATGGGGCTTCGGCGTTGGAGGGGGGGGGGGGGTTGGGATGTGCACCTCCTAAATATTTCAACATAATGAGCATGAATGACATGCACCAGGCATCCTGCACATATGTGGTCGGCGCACCCTTAAAACCTGGACCAGAAACACCCCTGTAAAGTTGTCATCGAAATGAGTCGCGGCGTCTCTCTGAGACTGCAGTCAACTACGCGAATAACGACTGCGGATATAACGACAATTCGCGAATAACGGCAGAACTTCCATGCCCAGAGCAAATTCCCATCCCACTGTAATACATAATGATGAGACTTCGGGTATAACGACACTTCGCGAATAAGGACACCTTTTTGATGCCCCGCCGAGTGTCGTTATAAGCGAAGTTGACTGTAATAATTAGTACACTTTGTTGTTCGGATGAGGGTTAATGAAGCAAGGCTCACTAGTATCACCGATCCACCATCCGTAGGGAATGAAACAGTTCCGCGGAGTGTGAAGAACCATTACTATACAATTCCATCGTTCACACTTAGCGAGGATAGACATCGGCTACTTGATTCGACTTATCAAACTGTAGGGTTAGTTTATTTTATAGAGTGCCGATTATACGCAACCCTGGGCGCGCGGGCAGGCGGTTCGGATGCGGAGAAGGTTTGGTTAAGGAGGCAGTCACACATCCACCTGGGACATGTACCTTCCCTCATGTTGCTTTCATTTCTCATTTTGTTCGGTTGTTCCACAGGAACTAGACACACTTTATTTCTTCATCATGACTCTACTGTGATACATTGTCCCCCCCCCCCCCCAAACCTACTCTAAAACATCTTGTGCACCAATTCAATCAATGCTGCTTCTGGTGGGGAAAATGGCCATAAACTAGGGGTCAAACGGGTGTACCTTTAACTAACGAACGGGTAATTTCCTTAACGGGCGGGTTAACGGGTACCCTTTAGCAGCCATATTATTTTTTGGCGCATTTCTCACATAAATCATGATTTTAATTTGTATATTCTCAGGTTGTATTTTGATACTACATTATGATTCGCAATTGATTCGTGTATCATAATATTATTATGGCAATAAAGGTTCCAAATGAATGTCATCCGTGCATTTGCCCATGTACATAACTTCACAGGCAGTAACTTACAATCGTACATGTAGATGGTCCTACAAGCTACATGTATTTTGATACACTACGCAAATCAACTGCAGATCGATGTGATTCAAGCCATGCATGCAAGGACAGAGTGGTTTTGCAAAACTTCCGTGATCTCACGCAATCCTATTTGCTATGTTCGCAGAGAACTGGTACTCGTTGCATTCAGAAGATGTTCGCGCCCATAGCTAGCTGGGGTGCCTGACACAGCTGATGTGCTGCTGGCCAGCTAGCTGCTAGTGCTAGCTTGTTGAACTCGTGAAATGAATCTTCACAAATCCGTAATCTTGTATGCAATATTTCGAACTACTTTTCAACTCGTCGATTGAAGGAACAAACTACAACCATGAGTATCATACATGTAGCTACCACCTACGGACATCACCGTTTGTGACACTCCGACTGGTCACTCAGCCTGGTGACACTAGTTCATCAAGTACTGTGGCAGGTTCGATGTCGGAGAACCATCATAACTAAGTTACTTTCTAGTTACTCAGCTGCCACCTCGAACGAGTTTCAAGTCTTGCATCTTCTCACATCACAATCAAAAACCTCCAGTACGAGGATTTTTACTTGCACTAGAGTGGAGAGAACAACTGTCAAGTCTGTCTTTCAGCCTGCTCCTGCCTGATAAAGTCGAAAGCGGGAATGCACAGGAAAAAGGAAAAGAGTATCCGCACTCCTATTTTGAGTCTTGGAATACGATAGGATCACTTTTCACATCATTTTTTTTTTTTTTTTTTTTTTTTTTTTACAAACGGGTACCCTTTTACTAACGGTACCTGAGATTAACGGGCGGGTACCCGGTACACCCGTTTGACCCCTACCATAAACCCAATTTCGTCCCTTCACTTCATCGAAAACTGGTATTTCGGACCATTGTTCAATTGGACCATCGGCTTTCTAAATTGATACAAAAGCTGGCAGACTCACAAACAATATAAGTCAATAGCTCGACTCGTTAAGCGTTTTAGGGCTGATAATCCCCTGACCCAGGGGATTATTCTTCATAATCCCCTAGGTGAGGGGAAAAAGCCCAAGACTTTGGTCCGTTTGGACTGCTCTCACTATACCTAGCGAGAGTAGGCCAAAAGCAAGCTAGCCAAACAAACCCCAAAGAGCCAGCCTGGAAGCCGCTGTGTGATATCTCAATCAAATGATCTTGTTATAGGAAGGTAATTGAACAAGTGGACATATTTACAAAACTCTTACATGAGCACCGTGAATATGTTTTTGTATTAGATGAACATGGATGTGAACGTGCAATTACAGCTACTCATGAATAATAATTGGCAACAAGGTACATGTGTCTGCAACGTCAACGACAACGTTGCCATGGGAACTGAACAACAAATGAAAGCAAATACATTGTATTGTATCGTAAATAGGTTTACTATGGAACCTAAACAAGAGAAATGTTGTTCTTTGTATTTTGAATTCGCAAGAAATCCAACACGCCCGCATTTCGATCTCAACAACAATGTTGCCATGGAAACTGAAGACTGGTCATACTGCCCATCAGGCATCACCCTCCCTCCCTCCCCCTCAAAAATTAATTGGCTGAGAAAATTCAAAGAGAAAAACGCACAGATCAGGACTTACAAGAGTACCGGCACAACATGTGGGGCCTGAACTCCCACCAGAACAAGAAGAAAACCAGGGAGTAGTACAATACTCCCTGAAGAAAACCGGGCCATAACAGGGTGAGGCAATGTAAAGAGAAAAAATATCAGGTATTGTTTTTTCATTTGTCAGATTGTGTTTTGTTCCTGTGTCATGTTTCCTTGCCTTTCCTTTTTTGTGAGCTTGAAAAAGTACGTACTGAGTACATGTACTGTACTCCCTGCATGCTTACAACTGAAAAAGTGTGAAAGCCAAAAGCTGTGTACCGTGATGGCTGCGCTGACCCCTGACAAGTCGAGCTATATACAGATAGTGCACGGATTGGTCCTCGGAAGAATATTTTTCATAATCCCCGCGGCGCTGCGCGCCTTGGGGAGTATGAAAAATATTCTCCTCGGATCCGTGCACTATCCTATACTGATAACTTGGTGCGTAAAAAAAATATTAAGAAGTTGAAAATGGGAAGTCAGTTTAATTAAGTTAACACTTTGAGGACCGAGGACGAGTTAACTCGTCCAAAAATGTACGCTGTATTCCCGAGGACAAGTACCGGTATACTCATTCTGAGAGTGCAATCATTTGTTCAGTGTATATACACCAGTGTTCAAATTACTGTAACTCTGGTATCCTTTCTCCGATCATCGCAAATGATAGCATGTTGGAAAGCTGAGAAAATAAGCTCTCCAGCGATATGTCGTTTGATATAGCGCAATGTGGATTCACGGAGCTCCGAAGAGCGAAACAAAAAAAGAGAAGTTTGGAATTTGAATTTTTTGACAAATTGTGTGCGCAGTGATCTGCACTTATCAGTATCTCTCAAACGGGGACTTTCCCTATGACTCGTCGTTGCACAGCGCATGCGAAGTAGAGCTCAAAGGTTTCGCTTGAGCTTCATGAATCTGGAGAACTTTGACATAGCCAGCAATCGTATGTCATCACGTACATTCAAAATCAACATAATTTTGCGAATCGACCTTTTTTTCAGGATCACTTTTCAACGAGGACGAAGCAAAGTCAGCTGAACGAAGCCTAGAGGAAGAAAATCACCCTCTCCACTTCACCATCACGATACTGACATAGATACGAGATGAAACAACTAAAAAATCTACAAGAAAACTGTACGGCCATCATCGCGCTGACTTTGGTCTGAGAATTTCTATCACGATCAAAAATGTACGAGGAGCACTCAAAAATAAGTCACAGACGTACCTTTATCGCTCTCTACTCCTTTTTCAAGGCACAAAAGTCGACTCTCCACTTTCAAACCAGGAACTAGACATACCAGTGGTCCTTTTCAGCTGCTCCACGAGCGCAGGAAATGTTCACCAAGGGGCGCAGAGCAGCATCCATTCCAGAAAAAGAGCTAAAATACGAGTAAGACTGCATGCCTGAGTACATGAGTACATGTATGAGTACATGCAGAAAATAGTCAATTTCAGCGTTTCTGCTCCAAACAGCAACTAGCTTCGACTAGAAACAAAGATTACACCAAAGGATCAAACAACAACCATTTTCTGCAGTTTTTTTGCAGATGGCTTCCTTGTGCTTGGCCCAGCACGCCAAAAATCACACCTCGGAGGAGTACAAAAATTACAACTCTCAGATGTCCTCGATTGCTGGCCATGATAGTTGTTCTGCGTTGAGTAAAACTTCGGAACTGAAGAAATTTGTCGGGGCAGGCAAAGTACCTCAGTCAGGCGCAATGGGGCAGCCCTCAAATGGCATGAAGGCGATTCCGTTGCTCCTGCTGGGCATCTAGTTGCATGATTAGGAAAGAGGAGTTCTGTAGAACGCTGATGAGCCCAAGATGGAGAAATTCTGGCATTGGTGAGTTAAATTATAAAACTTTGCAGAACTTGCAAAACTTTTTTTTCGTACTCTGGCTGAGGCACGCATCAGCGTGTGCCCAGGCGGGAATACGTGGAATCATCAGTCGTCCTGAAAGGGCTGGCAGTACCGTGGTTTTAGTACTGCGTGTGCAGCGGTCTGTACCTATCGTAGCACTGAGTGTCAGTTTTTTACTAATGTTTTTCCGACAGTAAAAAGTTTCCCAAACTAGTCAGCGGCGGATAATGCCGGCAGAAAAATAGGCAGAATTCGGTACTTTTTCTGGTAAGTTTCATGCATGTTTGGTATGTGGATAAAGAAGTGGAGCAGAATTCGAAGAATTGCCCGCCATAAAGTTTGTACGGTTCTGCCAATTTCACTGCTTTTCGAGCAGAATCTGCCACCTTTTCGAGCATAATTCGCCGGTGCCTATCCCAAACCCTTCCAAAGGGGTCGGGAGAAACTGAAAAGCTGTTACTGGTGGGCGGCAATTTCGAACACTCCCAGGGTGATTTCCCCTATACTGCTGCTCTATCCCATAGTATGAATGAATCCTTAATTGGCAGTACCGTATTTCCCCGTAAGTTAGTTCTCCCCAATGACTTAGGGCATGTTCGATTGGTAAGGATCGGGATCGGGATCCAGATCTCAGATCCCTCGGATCCTTCAGATTCAACTGAACGCTATATCTTGGACCTTGACTGTTGCCATGTTGAAAATGGCGCTCACAAGGCACCCAAAAGGGTGAACGTCGTACTCATCGCGTGCGTCGTACAAAAAGTCAACAAGCTCTATCTCCATCCACGTGTGCGTACCACAATGTGTACAAAAATGATTTTTACCCGCCATATACGCACAAAGGTCACATTTGGATCCATTGGATCCGGTCAACCCTGCTCCCCGAGGTGGGTTGACCGGATCCAAATCCAAAGGATCCGGATCCGGATTCGACCAATCGAAAGGGTGCGAATCCAGTGGATCCGGTGGATCGGGATCCCAATCCTACCAATCGAACATGCCCTTAGTACCCCCTATAAAAAATACACTTTCCACTGCAAAGGTTATCACCCCGAAAGATAGTCCTCCCCCCCCCCCGAAAGATAGTAAGTTTGTACCCGTCCTACATGTACAGACACCGTACAGTACATATATCATATGCACGGACACTAGAGTTGTGCAGGCTTCCCACTGCGTGTCATTTACCCCCGATAAAAAAGTACTCCCCGAAAGATAGTACCACCCCCGAAAGTTAGTACTCCTGTGGCTGCTAAGTTTGAAAGTTAGTACGTACTAAAATATGGGGAATACGGTAGTATGAATTCACCCTGGATCCACAAGTGATTGTACTGAGGCCTAACTATAATACAACAACGGAAATCAACAGACTACCCAACGATGTTACATACACTTGAGCCTCCCAAATTAGGTGATCTGTTGCTTTGCGTCGTCGAAGTGCAGTAAGACCAGTATCTCCAATTGTCGTACTAGCCTCGCCATCGTCCAGTAAGGCTTGGCATTCTTTTTTCCATTATTTCGGTATATTAATTATACAAATAATGGACTGGATGGAGAGCCAAGGAATAATTTCTGGAAAAGAAAAAGGACCAAGGAACTACAAGTTACGCTGTTATGTTCGCTAACACCACCAGTTACTAAACAATCAGCTCGTGCGGTAACATTGCACGCATCTGACAACCTGACCTTTTATTGATCTTCGCATCCTTTGAGCCACACAAGTGGTTTGGAATGTTGCTTTGCGTCCTTGAATCATGGTTTGACCGTATTGTCCAACGGTCTTGCCAGGATCATCATCGACATGCATGAACATCCGCCAACGTCCTTCACAGCTGAGACTTTCAGCTTGTGCTTATCTTTGGAAGGCTGTTGGAGTGCGCATCCAATATGTACTAGAGCTGTTTGCTAGTTAGTTGTACATAGAGCGTCAGTGCCGTTGGTCAGTTTTGTGCAATGCTATCGCATGAGCTGATTATTTAGTAACTGGTGGTGTTAGTGGACATTATAGCCTAACATGTACTTCCTTGGTACTTTTTCTTTTCTATAAACATATCGCAATGCAGGGGCGTCGCACATGGTATGGTCAGTGCCTGCTCCAGCGCCGGGTGAGCCAGGTAATCCACCCGGTTGGGCGGCGCTTGGACCCGGTTGAAAATATAGTACCGGGTCACCTGTGACCCGGTTGGTACTTTACACTTTCGAACTTTGAAAGGACTGACCACATGGCTTGTATGTGTCAGATATTTCTTCTTCTTTCGTGCTTTTCTAATTCCTGCCCTCTCTTTTCTAAATGCGGCTTATCCATTCGCCTTTATGTCATTGGACTTAGTTCCCGTTTATTGTCCGAATTAAAATAAACCAACCAACCAGTTAAAGCATGTGCCTCGGCTGGTGAGACAGCGCCAGGTACATGTGTACCCGGTTACGACCCGGTTGAAATGGTTGCGCCAGGTACACGTGTACCCGGCTGTCCTACAATCCTAGAGCAGACACTGATGGTCACTACGGTATTGACCGTACCACTTTTTGCCCCAGATACCAGTGAATCAATAAAATACACTGAGCTGGGATCTAAAATTCCAAAATATTCGGCTCCGCCACCACTCCCCCCACGAGTAAATTGTACTTCAGATGTGTGACCGTACCACCCTAAAAAACCTTCCGAAGCCCCTGCAATGCTTGTAAATAACGCTTTTGTCCTATTCTTACCAGCAGATGCCGGAACGGACATCCATGTTGTAATAAGGACAATGAAGACAGCAACAGGCAACATAGTGTTGTAGTCAATCCAGGAGGTTTTGTTGACCTATAGAGCATTCCAAAGTCAATAGAGAAGGGCAAACACATATCACAAAATGCATACAAATACAAGTCAGCAAGCGAGACCACCAAAAAGACTCAAATATAGTAGAACATTAATCCATGCATTGGTTGGGACAAGCACACATCAACGCACGCAACCATGCAGACGTACACACATACACCCACCCCCCCCCCCCCCACACACACACCCGCACCCCCCCCCCCCCCCCACATACATACAACCACCCACCCACCCACACACACACACACACACACACATACACAAATACCTATGCATATCCACAATCCCATGTTTCTGCCCCCCCCCCCCCCTAACCCCCATCAACACACGTTTGCAATAGATGAACCACTGTCTGATGAACATCTGCCCACCAACCCGTGTACTTGGACAGTTTAGAGGGTTGTACTGGGTGAATAGGTTTACTAACCTGGGTAGTTGCCACCCTACCCTTTATCATGGCTGCTACCTTCCTAACTTAGAAGTTGTGACTTCGGCGGTACTAGTCATGAAGTTGGTTGTTTCAACGAGGAACACACGCTTCTTGCTGAACTTGACACTTGACTGACTCACGACTAAGTCAAGTGTCAAGTTCGGCAAGAAGCGTGTGTCCCTCTTTGAAACAACCAACGTCATGCTACCTACCTGCCTGTATACATCTGAATGGCAGTGAGGGGGGAGTTGGCTATGGCAAGTGATGGGGGAGTTGGCTATGGCGGTGATGGGGGAGTTGGCTATGGCAAGTGATGGGGGAGTTGGCTATGGCAAGTAATGGGGGAGTTGGCTATGGCAAGTGATGGGGGAGTTGGCTATGGCAAGTGATGGGGGAGTTGGCTATGGCAAGTGATGGGGGAGTTGGCTATGGCCAGTGATGGGGGAGTTGGCTATGGCAAGTGATGGGGGAGTTGGATATGGCCAGTGATGGGGGAGTTGGCTATGGCAAGTGATGGGGGAGTTGGCTATGGCAGTGATGGGGGAGTTGGCTATGGCAGTGATGGGGGAGTTGGCTATGGCAAGTGATGGGGGAGTTGGCTATGGCAAGTGATGGGGGAGTTGGCTATGGCAAGTGATGGGGGAGTTGGCTATGGCAAGTGATGGGGGAGTTGGCTATGGCAAGTGATGGGGGAGTTGGATATGGCAAGTGATGGGGGAGTTGGCTATGGCAAGTGATCGGGGAGTTGGCAATGGCAAGTGATGGGGGAGTTGGATATGGCAAGTGATGGGAGAGTTGGATATGGCAGTGATGAGGGAGTTTGGCTATGGCAGCGATGGGGGAGTTGACTATGGCAAGTGATGGGGGAGTTGGCTATGGCCAGTGATGGTCGAGTTGGCTATGGCCAGTGATGGTTAAGTTGGCTATGGCCAGTGATGGGGGAGTAACGGTACTTTGCACTCTTTAGAAGCCAAAACATATCTAGGTTCTCAAGTGCCAGGCAAAACAGGACACAGTCATGAGCAAACCATAGAAGATATTCGAGCGACTTTTCGCTCCTTTATTCGCAGTGATCCGTGAACAAATCAGATTAATATGACCATGCCTCGCATTAAGAGGGATGGGCATGACCGGGTCAGCTGACCTGTAGATTTGAGATTGCCAAACCAAGCTGGTGATGTCCTTGAGATCGATAAACACCTTCATCTTGCACATGGTTGCTGCGAGGAACGCTGCTACTGTGCTAATAGTGATACGTTTCTGTAACTCTGTCGCATCTAGAACGATGCTGGTCACAGAAAGGTATCCACATGGTAGCCGACTGCTGTTTTCTGGCGGAGGAGGCACCACGGATTGAGATTCCTCCCATTGGTGGAAAGCCTGGAAACATGATGTCCGCAGCTATTCTTCCACTCTACAGCCTTTGCAACAATTCTTGTGTTGTCTTCTTCCCCGGTGGTGTTGTGTAGATGAATGCATGGCCACCATACACCTCTTCTTTGATAGCACTTGACTGCAGGCTTGGTACTATAACCGTGCATAACTACTTCAGTCCCTGTGAGTGCTTCACAAGGAAAGTCGAACATGCCAAGCTTAGAGCTCATGTGGACTTGGTACTGAGTCCACGAGCTAATCTAGTTTTTTCCAACCCGCTGGCCTGGGATGGACTCGGCAATGGCAGTTCTTTGAAACGCGCTCCGCTTTCTATTCATTGCCGCTCCTTCATCCTGGTCCAACTTTATCAATGGATCAGTGTCTACTTCAGTATCGCTACATCTTGTGGAAGCGCTATCGCCAGAGCCTGAGGCACAACGAGAACACTCCTCTTCGTCTGTCTCCTCCATGGCTCTGCATGACTTCTTAACAAAACACCTACTCCGTGCAAATAATCGTTTCGGATTTGTGGAATAGCTTTGGTTGGGTATTTTATGCCGTGGCCAAAGGAATCTGACCCATGAGTCAACACTCAGGGTACCCTCTAAAAAGACTCAAAGTCTGTGGGGATTGCCCTAATAAAAAAAATAAAAATAATACTGCTACTACTACTCAGACTGAAACAAGTACTATTTCGCAATTTCAATCCAATACCGTACATCTTGCATCGTCCAAAAACCCATCCGAGCACCGTTTTGGTGCTGCTTTTGACTTATAGTGTGGATTGGATTTCTTTGGCTACAATTGTAGGAGTGTACGTGACTATACATTTACCGGTACGCACCTGACTGCGTTGCTACATACAGCGGCCTAAGTGCTAAAAGTGTTACGTGTCAATATCGTCATGAACTCGTAAAATGAATTACGGTTGCACGCATTTCAGACAGGATGAAGGTTGGATCACATGCCTGTATGTAGCCAGTTGTTGCGAAAAAACAGAGATTTCCCGATATTCTCCACTAGGGCACTGTGCAACTCGTAGTGCCACTCAAACTTCACATAATGCTCTCTTTTTTCTTCAATCTAGTGCTCCAAGCTGCTCTGCTTGCAGACTGCTACTCCGAGTCTCCGACGGATAATCTCATAATGCCGAAAATAATGCCGACATTATCCGCTGGACCGTAAGCACTTCAACGTGTGCTGTGTGCGTCGGTGTAAGAGACTTGCAACGATTACGTGCATGGTTCTGGACTTGAGCTTTTCCAAGACGGACACTGATGTGGTAACCGGGGTCTGTCTTCAACGTGCCTTCCCCACTCTCAAATACATGGGGGCCTCCCCGGTAGTACATTGGGTACTGCACTTGCCTGCGACCCCAGAGGTCGCGGGTTCGAGCCCTGCAGTCGCACATCTGACTGCAAAATCCCCACGACGCAGCTCACCAGATCAAGGTGTGGGTCCTCTGCACTCAGTAGAGTCAATTCGAGCGAGCTGCAACTCCCGGTGCCGAAAGGCGGGCTAACGCCCCTACATGGCTACTTCCCCTTGTCTAACCCCCAAGACGAAAATTAATGGCCGACTGGCCGAAATTTAAAACAAAACAAAGCATGTACTCTCTGAATTTCTATTACTAGAACATGCGCATATCTGCAGACGGGCTTGGTTTACTTCATTCATAGACTGTAAACTGTAAAGGATGCGGAAGAGGGTATATAAGCAGCTGCTAGTATTGTTGCTTAGGGCACATGGCGGTCCGGTCAGTAGCACACCAGCACGCTTCAAATACTCATTCTTTCTCTTATGCGATCCTCTTCGAATCATTGTTATTATCATACATGGGAAACCCGCTAACAATACCTTTTGGATTAGCGCACGACGCAGTCGCTCAGCGCAAGTGACGAGTAGGTTTGGCAGAGTACGCTGAAATAGCAGCACTGGAAATCTCTCCTCCGCAACCACTCCTTTAGCGTCCGTCGACCGTTCGCTTGCGATGTTCCAGCGGGTTGAGCTCAGTGTGACGTTGGGACATATATCAAATTTCATTCAATTTCACTCGCCTCTAGCTCTGAGCAGACACTTGCCATGCTAGCAGGAGCAACGTGCGTAAACACATGAAAATCCCGTTGAGCGTATACATGTGAACTGTTTGGCGCCTTGTCACCTCAGTTTCTTCAGCATAAATACGGTAAGGGGCGATCAGAATTTGCGCAATGAATCAGCGCGAAGAAAAAGGCGCCGTATTTTACAGCGCGAGGAAGTTCTGCGCGAAGAATGTAAGCGCGATAAAGTACAGCGCGAAGCCAATATGACACATGACTGTACACGTAGTACATGTATAACCCAATACTAGCTCAGAAATAGTATTAGATCAACCTTGTTATAGTTCACGCATATTGGTAGATTGACAGCTTGAAACAAGGTGGACACCGCGGAAGGTTGTAGCAAGGTCACTGTTTCCGAACACAGTGTCCTTGTCTCATGCTGTCATTGCAACAATATGCATGTATACAGTTGCACAGTCACATTCATTACCGGCCATGTTCATGTACAGTGTGCCAGGAAAGTTGCAAGGAGAACCTTTTCCTGCACACAGGCAAGAATCATGTACAGCTGGCGAAACACTTAGTATTACTAGACGGGGATTCTAGGAGCCACATTGAAATTCCGTCCATGAACAGTTCAACCCTTATTATCATTTTTTTCTGTTTCTGCTTTAATGACAGTCCATTGCACGCCGAAAAAAAGTACTTAGTTTATTAGGTGGGTTACAGAACTGTCGTTCGCTGGCTTACTTGTAGTTTTGATAACGCTTCGCTCTTCATTGAGATATCTGTCAATCTCTCTTTGTTCTCCTGATCTTCTCCCCAACCCTCCTTCCCTGTATCATAATAATATATTAGCTGGCTTGTCATTGAGTATTTGTGCTCGTTTGGATTAACGAATTCAAATAAAGTATACAAACTAACATACAAACCAGTTGTCCTACTCGCCTGATCGCCACAGAGATGACTCTGCAGCAAACCCGACCAGTGTACCATGTTATCCAGGCGGAACCACTGCACTGGTTCCGTGTTTTGCTGCGTCAGAGTCTCCAGTTTATTGCCCATGTCTGCGTTGTATTTCGGAATGGCAGGGTGCTTATTATGACGTGCCTCACCCACTTCTGCAGCGTCTGTACCAACTATTAACTTGGCAGGAGATTACATGTACATGTACATGACATTTCAAAACAACCAGGACAATCAAGTTTGCTTCTACTTCAAGAAACTTGATGTAGCAGCAATCAAGCCTTTATTGTCCTCGTTGTTTTGTATTACGCTCTGCCTCGGTGGTGTTGAGCACTGTCAGCACACTGGGTACATCCTCCGGTGTACATGACAATAATGCTTATACTATTACAAGTTACAATCAACTTCATGACTATTACCGCGGAAGTCGCAACTTCTAAGTTCGTCTTACAAGTTCGGTATAATAAATAATAAAAACTTAATTGACTCTAATTTATACAAAGAGAAAGACCAAGGAGCTACAAGTTACGCTATACTGTCCACTTACATCACCAGTTACTAAATAATCAGATCATGCGGTAACGTTGCACGACATTGACCGACGGTACTGACGTTCTACAACTAACTGGCTAACAGCTCTAGCATATCTTGGATGCGCACTCCAACCGTCTTTAATTGACTTTTTAAATTAATTAATTAATTTAATTAATGAGCCGTCTTTAATTGACTCTCATATACATAGCGCTGAGATATGTGGCTGACGTATTTGGCGCGGACATACAGTACATGTATCTGGTTCGGACTAGTCTGAGCTATTCGGTGCTTAGCTGCTGGCGCTGAAATATTTGGCGCTATACGATTTGGCGCTTACGTTCACAGCGCTGACACGGCCGCGCTCACCTGGTTGACGCTAAACTTGAGGTCGCTGAATGCATGGACTCCTGTTCCGGGTGCTTCACCTGGCCCTGCCACGGCCGCTACAGCTGCTGTCAAGGTAAGGTGTCACTAAAAGGATGCCAATTTTTGGTCATGGTGTCACCCAGCTGTTCAAAAAGTGAACTACAGTGCTACTTCTGCCGTGGACATGGAAATCTGGTCGCACGTCTATCTGCCACAGGGCGCTGGCCATGCAGCCGTAGCATGTATACGCTGCTAGCTGCTGGTCGCATAGGCCAGGATCAACAATGATTGTGCACTGCATGCAACGACTTACGTTCTGCACGCGCTGAGGGCGCCGGCCCCGTCAATCGACTGGATGTCCATATATGCCCATGTCCGCGACAGTGCTATCTATAGCCCTGTTGTGCATAAACTACTTTTCACACAGCTTCACAGTGCACTAGGACTGCAAAGCGTACCCAACGCTGGATGCATGATGAATGAATGATCAAGGTGATGGCTGGCATTGAGTCTATAACCATAGTGTCTGTCACTGTCAGACGGGATATGATACAGGGATATGATACAGGGATGTGATACAGGGATGTGATACGGGGATATGAAACAGCTAGAGAATCCCTCCTTTTACTAGTTTAGTACTAGACTGTGCTTTGCAGAACAGTACCACAAACGCGAGTATTGTCTATTGATTGAGAAAGTGCACCCACGACGTCATGTATAGGTGCATTTTGTACATGATACATTAGGCTTTATTCCCGTGGCTAAATGTATGCAATAGACGTTACATACTGTATACATGATTGTATCGTCTGGCGCTAGCGACGTTCTGTGATGTACCGTACACCGAACATTCACAATTGTTTGGAGTTTTTCTGGAAGTAACACATGTCATGCCGACATGCCGATCGAGTCTCCTTTTTGAGGGGTTGCCGACCGGAAACAAGGCTATGGCAAAATATCTATTCAATATGCGCTTCTGCCACTGCAAGTGTGGCGGACTGATCATTCGAACCCACACTGGGGCGGCCAAGCCAATGGCACGTATTCACTGAAGGCGCACGTGACTGGTAGCGCGGCGGGGAAACAAGTAGGTTTTCTCATTTGCGTACATAGTAAATTCGCAATTTACTCTTGACTTGTTGAGCCGTCTCGAACGTTGTATTCCGCAAATTCCACTTCGTTGGGTCACTACTATTGTATACCTTGAAGACCAGTAGTCTATATCGAAAGAAACTCACAAGTTCCAGTGATTAGAGAAACTTCTTTTCCACGCATTTGTATGCATTCGTGTGCGGAATCGAACAAGTGTCCCCCCAGCGTGGGGTTGGGCTGGGGGGCGACCAGAGCCAAAATTTCCCCACCCTTACTCTGGGGCTGTTAAGTGATGACGTTACAGTTCCTTCGATACGGATAACAACGATCCCTCTGGGGACAAACAAAATTAGCGTCGTCTCCACCGAACCAGTTGTGAGTGGCAACATATATAATCCTGTACTTGTCTTCGTTTCTTCTTTGCTGTTTTCAGTGAGTGTATTGTTTTCCCTTTGACCTTGATGGCGACGGTGTTTTCCTGCTCATTACCTTACTGAGACGTCTCTTGTGACTGTAGCCAGTGTCACGGAGGATTTTATTGGGGTTGACAATGTAGATCGCCCAGATCGAGCATGAAAAACGCTCTGCATTAGTAGCTCATGTAGAATGTTTTCTTGGATGGCGTATCGATGGTCAAAAAAGCCAAGGTGCTAGACAGCATGAGAGATCGTGTAAACGATGTGAACTCCAAAAGGTAAGCTCCTGACCAAGTGGAAAGATATTTGTGTTCACAAACTCTCTCTTCATCCATCGATTGCCGCTGTGCATTGCATTTCGTCTTCACAGATAATCTGGGCAACTATATTGTAACTGGAGCATGCAATCGTGCTTGGCGCCCATCCCGATGTCATCACATGGCAGTGGTGACTAGTGAATATCTCGGAGATTTTTGCTCGACTGATACGGAGTGTAGGTGGATTGATTATGAGAAATGCTAAGATGTGAAGTAAATTGCGTCGAAGAAATGTGAAATAAAAAATATAATAAATTTACACTCAAACATACACTGTATATGTACATGTCACATCATGATAATGATTCCATCTTTATTGCCCCGCAACTGGTACGCCATACGCACCGAATACATCGTTTTTGTGTGTGCGCGCGCACGCTTGTATGTACGCGCACGTACATGCACACACTCTCATGCGTGGCCGAGTCGGCCAGATGAACAGACCATGCATTTGCACGAGGTGTACGTCATGTCTTTGGAATGCTGTACTTTATGACTTTATTTCAAAAGAGTGTCATCTTACCCCTGTCGAATGGAGTTTGTGTCTGTGCTCAGCGGATATCGGGCTACGACGCCACACTGGAGTCAGCGCTGCAATTAAAAGAGCACTGCATGGATTACTTCCTTTGCGTTAACTTGGTTGAGCCCGTGGTTTCATTTCTGCGTTCTGTCATGATTGGCCTCTGGAAATAATCAGAGTGAATGTTATGTTGCCATATGTGTGTGCCTTGTGCGACAGGTTCAAGGCTAAATGCACTTCACATTCGGCGTGCGATCTCCGCGTCTAGGACCTGGATCCTGATAACGTCTTGGTTGGATGAGTAATCAAGGATGATACTACTCGGCTCATCAATGTAAATGTCAAAGTAATTTTTTACTTTTTCAGAGCTGCACTATTTTCGTGTTGATGCTCAATTTGGTGTTAGCGTGTTTCCCCCGGATTGTTTCTATCATCATGATTGTGTGTTCTTGGGGCGAGCGAGCACATACAAAAGTGTGCAGCGATAACCCTGTGTATCTTTGGTTACACTTTCTTCTTCAACGCACGTACCTGGTAACATTATGTGCATGCACTGCTTTGTCTGACCTGCGCATCTCAGGACTATTCAGTGCATTAGACCCAGGTTGGTTTGGTTGCTGGATGATCTCTTGTTGCGTTGCTCTTTTGTATTCATCAATTTTTGGGCTTGAGAATTGAGCTGTTGTGTGGTTCCCAATATGAAAACATCATGCTGGTGCTCTGTGTTTCGATGATCGACTGTCCGAGCAGTCATGGATTTATTAGCAGAGCGGTCAATACTGCAGTCTTTTCACGTGTTTGTCTTTTTGTGTTTTCGCCGGTGGAATTAGCGGTC